TTTGTATGTGTTTAAATATGCCAATCACATACAAGTCATGTGTTGCAGTAGGTTCTATGCCTCCAGATTTTAAAGGTTTTCATTATTGGTTTGAGCCAAAATAATCTTTGTAAAGGAATGAAGAATGCAGGTGCCCTTTTCTTTAGGCATCTATACAGGGTGAGTCAGAAAAAAAAAAGTCCACTTTCAAAAATCTATATAATCTCTAATGTATGTTATTCTTCAAAGACTGTGGTATGTCCTAAAAGAGTATCTTCCTCTTTTATTTGGTATAAATTTTATCAGGTTTATAGCATGAATGTCATGCTTGTCTATACAGGAGGCCCTTTTTTTTTTGAGAGAGAGAGGAAATAAAATTTCACCTGCGCCAGAAGTGGTGGCATGTCGATCATGAATTAGCAATAAATGATATACCTCGGTTAAACATGACTCTTTACGATTTCATATCATGGGGGGGGGGCACCCCGTAGGCTATATAGTTTTTTGTTACATTTTATATCTTTGTTACTCACTGAAGTTTGCTTTTATTGTTTTCTTGTTGATTAAGCTCCTTGCAGATCAGTATTTACATGTTTGTAATTGGTAATGATAAATGAACCCTTTTAAAACTACAAAATGTTGCAGTTGTTTGTTAGGCCATATAGTTTTTGTTACATTTGATATATTTGCTACTTACTGAAGTTTGCTTTTATTGTTTTACTGTTGATTAAGCTCCTTGCAGATCAGTATTTACATGTTTGTAATTGGTAATGATAAATAAACCCTTGAAAAACTACAAAATGTTGCAGTTGTTTGTTTGACTGACTTGTGTATCTGTAAAATTAAAGCAGGTGCCTGCAGCAGTCACAAGATTTATTTTTTTAGTGTGTGTTTTGATGGTAACTTGTACATACACACTCTAGCATTAAGGTCTTACAGATTTTTCATGAACATGTTTGTAGGATTTCTATAGGATATAATTTAAATAATTTCATGAGAAATTTCATTTATTACACACAAATGTTATAAAACAGATTGGCTGTAAATTATGAATCATGCTATAAAATTACAGAATTTCTCGAGACTTCTGCAAGCACCCTGCCCTTTTTATTATTTTTTCATTCCGTTATAATTTTTCTATTTTTTATTTTTGTTTATTTTTTATTCATTTTTTTTTTACATGCCGATTTTCTGTTTCAAAACAGATGGACTGTAGATTTTGAAGAGAAATATGTAGTCAAATTAAAGCACTCCTGTAAACCTTGATTCAGGCACTCCTCTGTCTTTATTTTAAAGATAAATTTCATGTATCACAGATGGCTTGTTATTAAAAAGATGAGCTGTAAATTTTGATAGTAGATCTGCTGCAAAATTACAGGAGTTCCTTGTAGTTCGGCAAGTTATCTTTCTGTTTTTTTAAGAATAAATTTCATTTATCATATGCAGATTTGCGGCTAAAAAACAGATGAATTGTAAATTGTGAAAAGAAAAATGTGGCAAAGCTAAAGGATTCCTGTAAACCCTGAATCAGACACTTTTCTGTCTTTTTTTTTTACAAAAATGAAATGTTATAATCACTTACAGATTGTATGTTATTAAACAGATCAGCTTTAAATTATGGTTACAAATATGGTGTAAAAAAAACTGGAGTTCTCTAGAGTTCTGGAAAAATATATATATAAAAAACAGAAAATTTGTATTTATCACCTCCATATTTGCTGTTAAAAAACTGATGACTTGTGAATTGTGATAACAAAGTTCTGTAAAATTACAGGAGTTCTCGAGACTCTGCTGCAGGCACTTTTCTGTATTTTTATGGAGAATTTTTTTAACAGTGTAGCTTTCACAGTATACCGGGTTCAGTTGCCGTGTTCTCTCAATTGAATCAAGCCATGATGAATTAGAAAAGGGGGGACCACTGTCTCATCCAGTATTACAAATTCCGATTGTATAATCAATGCGTTACCCTATATAACTATAATTATTATGCTGATTGAAAATCTGATAGTCAATCACTAAAAACGTAAAAGCCTAGAAGGGAATTTATCTTTTTGTGTTCGTGTATAGCTTACTTTTTGTTATCCTTAAAAAAAGAACGTATTAATTTCTATTTCAGGCTTTGATTATAAACTTATTTCATACCATTGAAAAAAAAACACTGTCATGCCGTGTTTATTTTGCCCTTAATCAGCTAATGGATATTTTCATTTGAAGAGCAGCATATCAATGGTATGAAATAAGTTTATAACAAAGCCTGAAATAGAAATCAGCATGATAATTATAGTTGTATAGGGTAACGCATTGGTTATAAAATCGGAATTTGTAATACTGGATGAGACAGTGGTCCCCTTTTTTCAATTTATCATGGCTTGATTCAATTGAGAGGACACGGCAATGTTTTAGCCTAATTATATTGGATGAAGTTGAGGTGATAAAAAAACGATTGCATGGTTACCATCAATACTTTATTAACCCGTTGATTACTGAATGTTCTCATTGTCATATGTTTAATACAGGGGCCACCATGTTCCAGTAGGCAATATAGAAAGGTGTTTGAAATTTATCTGAACCGACGGAAAAGTGCAACCACTTTTATTTTTTACCCAGGAAAAGCACATTGATATGCTGCTCTTTAAATGAAAATATCCATCAGCTGATTAAGGGGAAAATTAACACGGTATGACATTGTGCTTTTCCTGGGTAAAAAAAAATAATAGTGGTTGCACTTTTCCGTCGGTTCAAATAAATTTCAAACACCTTTTTGTTTTCTTTATACAATAAAATAGTTCAAGGATACTTTGTTACTATCATCGATAAACATTGGTTTGACTAATCCATTGCCTACTGCAACCTGGTGGCACTGTATTAAACCCATGAGAATGAGAGATTCTAGAAGTCAACGAGTTAATAATTAATGGTGACCATGCAACCGTTTTTATCATCCCAACTTCACCCAAACCAATTAGGCTAACACTGACAAAAATATGCTAATGTCATGTTGGTGATGACGGGAAACTAGTTGAAAAACAGAACTTTCTCTTGATTGCCTTATATATACTAATATCTAAATATATTTTTCTGAGAAATTGGTCGTCGTTATACTGCATTTTCATGGACAAAATTCATTTGCGTAGATGGTTGTTTCACTGACACTGGTGTAATAGCTGAAGTACTAATATCATTTAAACATGTAGCCTCGTTGTTTCTAACCTTGCTTTAACAACATAACATGATGTTTCACGGCTATGTATATGGGGTGATTGGCACATTGCCCATCCCCTATCATATTTAGTCTCATGTTGGCAAAACAGAAATGTTTTTTATATCATGTTTACGGTTTGTCAGGTAAATTGTCTATTACACTCTCCCTGATTGCACCAATAATATGTAACATGAACGGAAATATTTATAAAAAAATCAACCTCAGCCATTTCAATAGGATTGTGCACCATCATGTGCTTCACCTTTAGAAATGTTCAAACATAACAAAGATATATTGCGTAATCAGAACAAGAGTTCTATAGGAAATACGTCGGTATTGATATTGTATTTGGGTTGAATTCTCGAAGGTCTTTGCAAAAATTTTTGGAAATGCAAGTCCACATAGAGCAAATGGAAATAAGTTAGGTTTCAATTGTAAGTTCATATTGCTGACGTGAGTCAGAGAGGTGTTAATTAGGTTATAATTAACACCTCTTTGGATCTCAACAGGACTAGGGTGATAATCTGTGCATGCTCTTATTATCATGTCTGTATCTTTTGTATGTACTGCTAAGGGTTATATGTATATATTTCATTGTTTCAAATACATTTGTTGTACTTCTTGTATCAGCACTCTGATCAGTATTTTGTAAAAGTGCTTAATCATTATCGTCAATTATTATTATTATGATGTAGTTTTCATGTGGAAGCATTGTGCGAGTATGGAACGTCACATGTTCTGATTTGTTTCCAAAAGTTGAAATAAATCAACTATCACTCCTCCCCCCCCCCCCCATCGAATAATCTGAAAGTATTCCTGTCGCTGATGGTACTTTTAGCGATTGATACAAGCACCTCCCCCCCCCCCCTCCCCTGTTAACGCGATACTGAAGTATTCAACGAAAGTTTTCATATGAGTCAAAACTATCAAGCCCAATGCGAAGTGCTGCATCAATAAAACAATTGATACGAGTTATGTACGAACAAAGAGTTTGATAATACGAAATCTCAACTGTTTGTGGTGGAATGGTTTCTCAAAAAATGAAATTTAATGTAGCATTTACAAATTACATTTATTTCCGTCTGCATAAATGCATATGTGTATATGATAATCGGTTTGCGTAACGCTTTTCATTACTTTCTTTCAACCATTTCATTAGTTTAATTTTAATAGTCACCTTTAACGCGCTTTAAAGTTAGCCTACAAAATATCCACGTATCGAGATCTAAAGTACTGAAGGAAATCATGGTTTTCAGGAGGAAAGATCACATGTTCAGAGGCATGATCATCATTTTCGACCAACCTAGGGAAGTCTTCAAAATCCTGGCCCGGGATCTAAACATGCTCGAAACTGTGTTTACCAGTATTAGATTGGCACGGGTCGCTTGGTATAAAACATAAGTCTCTGTTTGTCATACGCCGACTAATTTTCATTCTAAATTTATTTGCTAAATCATGCATGAACGATAGTTTTGTGTTTCGAACCTTTTTTGTAAATAAGACCAACAAGCGCTGGATTAAAAGTAATTTCAATGCACTTTAATATCGAATAATAAGATTTGTGAATGAAATATTCAAATCTCGACATCACATGAGAGTACTCCATAAGTAAAATCAGCGTATTATTATAACAAAAAAATTGATGCATTAGTGAATTAGATTTCTCATGACACTTGTACAACTCGAGAAGTGAAAAGTTTCATATTTTGGAGATTATTGTTATTCTTTTCCTTTTCTTAATATCTTGAAACACTACATAAGGTTTGTGCTTGCGCACTGTCTTGCAGGGAAATGATAAAACAGCAAATCTTCGACTTACCCAATCTGAACCAATGGCTAATCCAATGTAAAAACGTTCGATTTCAAGAGCACAAGAAATGTAGATATCCGAATTGCGTCCATACACTGTCTCTGCTCATCACAATGAACTGTCAATTGTCAAACTGATAGTCTAATCATGGACCTATGGTCTAATCCAACTTATCGAAGAGATATCTCCGTAAAAAACAACAAGTCACCTGCGTAGCGGAAGCTCGCCCAATACTTTCCAGTCGTTGTATTGTTGAAAACTCTTCTGAGGGCGGAAACTTCTAACAGTTGCGAATGTGGTATAGGATATGCCAAGAAAAATTGGGATAGGATTGGAGGGAAAGTTTTGATATGAGTAAGTTGGATTTGTATGTAGACCTATTTTAAGAGCCGGGCCTTGTCCTATAAAGAGTTGCGATAGACCAGTTTTGTTTGCATGTTCTTTACCTATATACCGCAAACGTTCAACTCCTGTTTAGTACAGAGTTGCAATTGGTTTAAACTAATCGCAACTGCTCCTAGGCCGAAAAAACACAGAACTGCAATTTATGTGTACGACTGTGACATTATGAAATTTTACCAACCCAAAGACCCAACTCGACATCGAAACCTGGTCCTTCATGGGAAGACTATAGACCTGACTACTAGACCAACTCGGATCTTCTGTATCATGCTTCGGTTCATTTGTATCGCCTTTTATTGCTGTAAAGGGTGATCTATCATTTTGAAATCTGTTTCTGTTTCTGTTTCATTAACATCTTAGTGTATATTCCCATGTTTGGGTAGCCTAAAAGACTAAAGTTCTCGTCTCTTATATTTTCCTTTCTATTTTCCTGTCCCATTTCCTTTTGTTTGTTTATTTTTCAGTATATGGACGCTTTCTTTACTCACTTATGAAATTGCAATCCGTACATTAGACTGTCATTTATCGTTTTCCACTATCTCTTACCAATATCTCCCACCTTTATATCTTTTTACCTTTATCTATCTTATTTATCTCTTACCTTCATTTATCTTCATACTATTTCCTTGCTCTCTAAAATGTGTTCCTCTTTTCCGTCTTCCATCTTCCCTCTCTCTCTCTCTCTCTCTCTCTCTCTCTCTCTCTCTCTCTCTTTATTTCACTCTCTCTTCTCATTCTTTCTCTCATTCGTTCGCATAGTACGTTTTTTTTTTTTTTTTTTTGTAGAAAGCGATAAATATGGCATTATCCTCTTCCCATGCACGGCCTATATACTCTACATGTATGAGGCGTAAACATTACAAGTAGAATCATCACGGTTTTGTGCGTTGTGTGTGGGTTTATATACAAAAAAATGATGCTCGCATGTGTTAGATGTTTCAATCCTTGTAGATTATTCTTTAAAATTTTGGAAGAAACGTCGACTATGATATTAAAGTATGTTTTGATAGAATTGGGGCAACATCTTATTTTTCTTCTTTTCAACTTCCCCAGTCGGAATCAATTGTCGAATCAATAGCTGATACAATTGATAAAGAAATATTAATGAAAATAACAAAATTCAATACTCTTACTTTTCTCGGGCAATGCGTACCGGGATTAGGTAATATATAGTCCCTGCCATAATAAAGTCATTCTACACACTTCCCCACCACAATGGACTTTCGAGACTTTCATCCTCTCGTATTTATGAATACATATATTCAAGGTGTACTGGTATCACGAGAACCCATCTACTTTCCATATAGATTACAATGCAATAACTGGTGGGCTACGAAGCATTATGATCATAAAAATTAAAACTTTGGCACAAACCTGTCATATTCTGCCGTTTAATAATCAACGAGAAAAGGTCAGGCGGTTGTATTGTTAGACTGACCGAGGTCATTTGTAACAGCTAAGTGCATTGACATAATTATTTTTTTCCGAAGAAGCCATGCTATCGAAATTCATATCAAAGTGCATTGGTGATGGGTACCACACTACTTGACATGTATCTTGTAGCCCCTGTTAATATTATATGCATTTTAAAAGTTGAATATGTGATGATTTAATATAAGTAACCTTGTACTAGATCTCCAGGGGAATGGTTTATCAATATATAAGGGATACGACTTTCTGAAAATGATAGGTACTTTCTTTTTTTCAGCGAATGTCCATTTTGAAATGTTGATGACTTTCCAATGTTTATAAGTAAGACTTCAAGCGTAATTCATTATCTTTTATCATAAGGCCCTATTCCGAAAAAAGCGAATTGACACTCGTTACAGTAAAATGGTGTAAGATAAATTATTATCATGATCATAGAAGTAGTGGCAATTTCATATTTTCTTAAACACAGTCAATACAACATATCAACCCCTTCTCCTATCTTCCTCTCTCTCTTTCTCTCTTTCTTGCTCTCCCTCATTCCTCCTCTCTCTTTCCCGTCAACACTTAAAGGTAATACAAAGTTTTGGGAAATTTTGAAAATTGGGTGGATAGTGATTCTTTACAATTTTGATATATTTGGATGCCCCTGCGGATTTTTTATAAGCACTAGAAAATTTAGTCCCTAAAACACTTCTGCTTTCGAGAAATATTGACTATAACAATTTCAAATAGCGCCTACGGCCGTACAATGGTAGCTGCGACCATGAAAATCTCACAATATGTAGTTGTGTTATAAAATTTCCAACGTGAATAGCTAAACGGTAGATTTTAGTGAAGAAGCATTGTTTTATAGCTTAATTAATATCTTGACCTTGAGAGGGAGCTAATCAACATAAAGTTTATTATTTACCATGTCATAACTTTAGACTCGATTTCAACTGCGACAACGATCACTGAATAGAGTAGGATCGCATATGCTTCCAATATGTTCTTTTGAACCAAATTCATGACCCCATACCAAAACTTTATAATACCTTTAACAACGGTATGCATGGTATTGGTAAGGGGAGTCTTCTCCCCGCCAAAATATCTTCGCTGTCTGTATAAATTTTAATGTAATTGATGGATATGGAATACTAATCATGGTAATTGATACTGCCATTATTACTTTTTGTATAAGATAAGAGGGTGCAGTTGATTATGCCTGCGGGAAATTCAACGCATTGTCTACCTAATTACTTAGATCAGCACGGCATCAAATTTATAAATTGGCATCCTAATATTAATAGAGAGAGGTGCAAAATAATAATTGGTATCATCAAGATCGTGATAAAACGTAAGCATCGAATATTTCTACACGTTATATCATATTGACATATGGATATGATAATTTTCAGATATCTTTCGGCATTTTGTTTCATCATTGATCGATCATTCTTTAGGACGACACTTTGTAAACCATCCCCTAAAATGCGCATATACATTGGATCTGAATTTATTATCTCTTATACGCAGTTCCTCGACAGGTGTAGGTTATATCTTTTGTTCTCATTTGATGGTTTGTGTTTTGCAATTTTTACTTCATTGTTGTTGTTGTCTTGTCTTGTTTTGTCCTGTCTTGTCTTGTCTTGTGTTTGTTTACCAACCTTGGCTATATTTGGGAAATCACTGTTGAAAAACCTGACTATGACCCAGGGGTCAAAGTCAATGCTGTAATACCGAAGAACTGACCGCTAGACCTTAACTCACATCTGCTTATCAAACATGTCATTGACCGTTCATGCATGCATAAAAATTACCCTACACTATGAACTCATAGAATTCTGGTCTGTAAATAAAAGGTTCTTACAGATATGACGCGGTGAATCGTCGCAAAAAGCAGCCGCGGATTTGTGTTTTGTAAGTGTAAATGAATGAACCAGCTTCATAGGCATGTTGTGCACACGAGGCGTCGTTTGTCTGACGTAGGACTGCGGCAGCGACTGGCGCGGCCTTTAAAGCACCATGTATGAGTGGTAACGTAAAACCAAGTGAATCCGAAATGAACAGTGCAAACATCACATGCATTTGCATCAATAGCCTTCACGGGCTTTATTAGCGTAGGTAATGACGCAAGAAAAATGACGTCACATGTGCAGTATGGGTAAATGTAACAGAGGTCCAACTTTGCCCCGAACTGTACACAACCCAAAACCTATATTTGAACCTCAAAGAGTGCAAATTAGAACCTTAGACGAAATATTTTTGTCATAGGAGGGTTGAACTCTCAAGAGGTGCGACATGAGCACCTACAGGGGCGTGGTGCTTCTGTCGTACCGTGTCGATGTATTGTGGTGTATAGTGGTTCATTCACTTGACTCTCACTCCCAGGGTAAATGGTTCGAATCCCAGCCTGGCACTAAACATGTCCTATTTGGCAAGTCATTTAATCACATGTGCCACTCTCGTCCAGGCGTTAAGAGGGAACACGAAAGAATGCAACATTTATTTTAGTTTGTTCACTATTGAGAGCGACTGTAAAATGGCGCTAGGTGGGAATGCTCCACATGGAGCGGAAAATGTGTGCGGGCAAGTCTGAACACGCTGACCGGGTAAATCATATATCTGTAAAGCGATTATAGAATCATGGTCGATGTATAAACCCAGAATATTATTATTACCGATTATCGGATGGTAAAAAAAAAGTATTTGGGTAACATCGCTAATCATTGAAGAAAAAAAACTCGGCTGTTCTGTGTACTTTTAATGCAAATTTAACGTTTGTAGACAATTACCTACCATCAATGTTAACCCAATTGAATCAGCAGGAAACGTGGTTTCACGTGCTTAACAAACTTTTGAACATTTACATGACTTGTTATGTCACCGGATAACATAAAAAAGGGATATGCGGAAAAGATTATATTGACCTTTCACAAAACGAAATTCAGATTTAAAGGACGTAAAATCATCTGGAAAACAAATGAATATCATTAATTATAGTATTTCATAATGAATGCGATTCTATCTTTGAAAGCAATGTGAACATTAAATTTTACAACTCAGTTGTTCACAACTGCGCTTCAAAAACAGCGATTCCCTTGATGATCGTGCTTTTGTTAGGCCTATATTTTATTGCTATGATTATATGAGCCAGGCCCCTTAATCCCAGATATTTTGTTGTTGACATTCGTAGTCTAAATTATAGTTACCCTTCTGAATATGCAATGCGCAAACTTGATTGATCATTCTGTATATTAGTATATGTCCCTACCATCGCTGGTCACGATTTTGCAATTTAAACCTCCTCTTGTTATACAATGCCCAGTAAAAAATACACTTTTTAATTCTACAAGCTTAAATCCATCATGTCTGTTATGTCTATTGTGTATGGCTAGTACAGGGATACATATGATACATTGGTGGATTACCATTAAACACAGGAAAGGAGGGACTAGGGATGAACTTTCTGTCCCGGCAACCCTTTCCTATTTATCATCTTTTATTGGCAGCTTTCAGGCAGAGAAACCGCCGAGTTGTGACCATGATTCGGAAACAGGTGACCTGTTACTTCCACTTTGATGTCATTTGGGTTTCACGCGGTGACGTGGAGCTAGAGTGTGTCCATACCAAATTCAATGATCGCCGTCCATACGTGTAAGATCTCTCGGAACGTTGAACATTCCATCGGGATACTTTTTATCGTATATACAGCTCCATCTTATACCATTGGAAATGTCCATACATCTCTACGTGCTGAGAAATCCAGAGTAATGTCCACCCTGTATTGATTAAGCCAGAACGAATCAACAGATCAGGGTATAACACAAACTGGTATAGACACACCCTAATCAATTGCCCTACCAGTAGTGACAACGTCTGTACATGTAGAGTAAACGCATGATCGAGTCTCAGTCTGGTTTAATGTTGGTTTTCCGACCCATTGTTTTCTAATATGTATCATGTTATTCTTTCTTCCTCTCCTTTTTTGTAAATCCATGCATTTTGGAGACATGCCATAAGAATGAGTCACGAGATATAAATTTCATTTTCCACTTACGCCTACGATAATACTGATTTTCCACAGTTTATCAATACATGGTATTTATATGGCACTGTATACAGATCGACCGTTGTAACTTTTAGTCTAATTGACAAAGTATTTTAAAGATACTATGTCCCTTTTGCAGCCAACATCAAATTTTGTAGAACTTTGCAGGAATGACGAATATGTCATGTGTGTCCTATCTGTAAAATTTAAACGTTAGCAGTGTACTAATATTCAAATTATGCAAGGATAACCGTTTACTTGATAGACTTCACTGTCAGACACTATTGAGTGACTAACTGGCTTTTTCTTCTTTCGTAGTATACATAAAATGAGCTGTAAATGGTATATAAGCATTTGTCTACATCAATAGAAACTAACTTATTGTAATGGCCAAAACTAAACTGATTGAATATTTGCGCATCATAAAACGTACGACCATTCGGTACAATCGTCTGAATATCAGACTATTACTTACTGGCTCTATAGCTCTTAAGTCGATTCGACAACTAATAGTCGTTACTGTCCCACTTAAAGACATTTTCAAGCCCTCCTTTTTCGGGAAGTTCTAAACTAGTATTATCTTTCAAATGCCGTTGGAATGACACCTTTTCATTTATTTGGCCTGCAATCGGGACATAGTACCTTTACCCGATGAATAAATCAATCAATTAATCGTTCAGACAATGTATTCAACCATGCGGGTAGTCAAGCCAACAAATTACTCAGCCACCACCATACCACCTTTTATGAAGAGGCACGTCAAGTAAAGTGCTTATTAATAACATGTTTTCTATCCACACTTGAAAATATGATACGAATAGAATTGTATGGGATTAACTATAAAGCATGCTTTCATTTCAGCTAAATCATGGAAGGCAATTTCTGGGAACCGTATACCACTAAATGAATGGGATTTTTTTTAAGGGGGGGGGGGGTCTGTTTGCTCGGTTTCATTTTTTAAATTAAAAACAGCATTGCAAAGGGGGTGCTTATGCTGTATTATTAAGAAAAGTACAAATAAATGTTTTGGTTCGGAAACACTTTTTTGGCAAAGAGTTATGTCATCATATATAGTCACAGACCATATTGTGCGTGGTGGTAGGCAGTGCCGATCACCGCACCGACATCCTTCCCGAGTACCGTCATCAGGCCATGACCGTCATCAAGCCATGACCGTCATCATACACAATGGGTCTAGGTCGTCAATCGCTAAACCAAATATTCTCGCTCCCAAATGACTTCGAAACTTCGAAATTACTCTAATGGCAAATATCAATTCAAATTTACATGACTTTCATATTCACGATTTCTGAAATATATTCATAATCATCATTATCCTCATCACCCTCATCACCATAGACATGATCATCATCATATTCTTTATCAACATCCGCATCGTCATCATCATCATCATTTTCTTCATCATAATTATCATTTTCTTCATCAGTAGCATTATTATTGTCAACATGGGTGTATATGGGAGACGACCGTATATAAGACAAGAATAAATTGAATTCTCGCTCATACGGCTTCATCAGAAATTGATGAATTTATTCAATTTATTCAATCAACAGCATCATAGAAATCCAGTGCGCCAAATGCAAAGCCGCAGCGTTAAAAAGCAACGAGCTTAGTAAATTTTAAGCACGAAACGCAAAAGTGCAAAAAAAAGAAGAAGAGAGTGGGAGAGAGAGAGAGTTAATGAGAGACAGAGAGGATACAGGCGCGTAGCCAGGGGGTGGTGGGGGCGGTCGCCCCCCATAATTTTTTTAAAAGACGCCGAGAGAGAGAAAGTGAAAAGGAAGAGGACGTATAGGAAGAAAAAGGATTAAGAGTCGAGAACGGTACAACGAATCGTCTTCTTTCTCTAATAATTTAATGAAACGTCAAAGCTTCCACGCTTCGCGCGGGAAGGGGGGGGGGGGGGGAACTGAATTCAGACAAGGATTAAGAGTCGAGAATGGTACAACGAATCGTCTTCTTTTTTAAATAATTTAATAAAACGTCAGAGCGGGAAGGGGAAGGGGGAACTGAATTCATAACAAGGATTAAGAGTCGAGAATGGAACAATTAATCGTCTTCTTTCTCTAATAATTTAAGGAAACATCAAAGCTTCCGCGCTTCGCGCGGGAGGGGGAGGGGGAACTGAATTCATAACAAGGATTAAGAGTCGAGAATAGTACAATTAATCGTCTTCTTTCTCTGATAATTTAATGAAACATCAAAGCTTCCGCGCTTCGCGCGGTAAGGGGGGGGGGGGACTGAATTGAGACAATGATTAAGGGTCGATAATGGTACAACGAATCGTCTTCTTTCTTTAATCATTTAATTCAACGTCAGAGCTTCCGCGCTTCGCGTGGAAAGGGGGGAAACTCCCCCTCCCTGCCTCCACCCCCTAAGAGGTGCTCACTACCGCCACCCCTAAATTAAAATCCTGCCTATATGCTTGAGAAGATAATAATCCAGGTAGCAAGCCCATGGACCCACATGGGTCCCATATTCTCTAAAATGTTATCTTTATTGAGGGTGACTTAAAAAATTTAATAACTTGTAAGGGAGGGGGTGCAACCTGCCACACGCCTCTACCTCTTTGTTGCTTTGATCCATTGCCGAAAATATTTTGGCACATATCATCCCCCCAACCGAGGATACAAATCGACACCCTTGATTGTCAACTTGACAGTGATTATTACTTTTAATCAGAGTGATTGGGACAAAAAGCTGTCTAAATGTTTCCTGCCTTTTTTTTTGTCTGTATGTTTCTTTCTTTCCTTGTTGTTGATGTTCGCCCTCATCGCCCTCGTATGCGTAGGAATGTATTGATTTGATGAATATGAGTCTGTCATACTTATAATTAATATTCATTGTTCATGTCATCATCGGCTAAAGAGGGCGGTATGTATTTTTTAAAAACAGTATGCGTTTGAGTAGTGCTGTGCAGTAACAAGTACAATCACTTTTTTGTTTCTGCTGATGAGGAATGCAAGCTTTCTAGGAATAAAGACACAAAACAATCATATTGTGTACGAGTTAGTAGTCTGGATTTTTAATTTACTGTAGATATTCAAGGAGTATAAATATATCTTCAACTTTATAAATATGTCCTTCTATTTATCAAACAGTGGAAGACAGATTTTAGTTACACGTCATGTGATATGATCTGACGAGAATTTATTATAAGCGCTCTTAGTATTCAGCATATTTACAACGAATATCATTCAGCGCATGTAATAATGCGCGGCGTTTAAATCATACATGCCATGTCAGTTTAAATACATCGCTCTTCGTATTTTCTCCAATATAGTCATTCAGCTCTTTGAAAAGAGCGTCATATAAAATTTTAGAAAGATAACTAATACCACCAAAATGAAAAGGATGAATATCTTACAATATCGTGTATACACGCATTTTTCAGGAAACATGAAATGCATTATAATATCTTATTTTAAACATTTTATTCAGTTCCTAACTAAACACGATCTTTGCAATCGCAACAACTTTCGAGAAATTAAACTTACAATGTCAATAGACTTGCGCGTCACCTACTGAAATGTGCGGACATGGCAATGACATATTACGTAATCTGAACATGATTTCTATGGGATGTAGAATGGATTTACTGGAAATAGTTGCGATCATGTTAAAAATGTTTTCATATGCCTTGTCGTTGGCTCTCCCGTACAGAACGCACGACAAGGAGGACTACCTTTAGCAAAAACGCGACAACACCCACTGACAACAAAATGGCGGCAAGTATAAAATTCGCATCAACGCTGAAATCGAAATCATCCTGTCTCTTGTCGAGGATGGCCGACACCGCCCAGATGACCACGGGGAAGGACATGACGTTGTACCGGAGATAGCGGTCCCACAGGAAGAGATCGATGAAGGCGTACACGATGATGAGGAGCAGGACGATGACCAGTGCGATGGTGGAACCCGTGTCGATACTCAGGCCGAAGTCGTAGATGAACACCATAGCGATGTTGATGTGCGTGGCCAGCGCGGTCCAGGTACCGAAGATGGCGAGGCCGTTGAGCACCAAGATGCGGTATATCCAGAGGTCGACACGGCTGATGTAGGACAGAAGAAATCAGAATATTAAAATCGATGTTACTGGTTGATAGCAACATTTTAAACTTCGCTTTCAAAAATTTCATAATAAGTTATTCTATTTTGACTCCAATCCAATTTTATCAACAATTCAAACGTTAAATTCATACGAGATATATGAAATATTATCACCTTGTAAAATGCTTTCTGTTGTGGACGAGACAGCGAGTAAGGAACGCAATGCATGACCACACGGACACTGGGATGATGGCGATCACGATGAGAGACCCCCAGATGATCAGATTCGTCCAGACGAAATACCAGGCGATGATGGCGAGCAGGCTGACCGTGTACCCGACGACGAAATGGACGCTGATGACCGGTGGGTTGAGGTAGACGGGACCGTGCTCGTTCCGTCGACAGAGGTTGACGAGGGCGTAGATGAGCCAGAGCATCTGCCACATAAAGATGAGGATCCAGATGGAGAAGGCCCAGCCGGCGGGGGTGATCTCGGTCGGGTGAATGCCAGAGGCGTTCCCGACAGATGTCGGCAACCAGCCTGCGAGGGAAAGAAAAGAAAGACAATGTTAGGGATCCAAGCGACTATCAGCATAATAAATATTTTCGATATACTCCTAATTCCTTTATAGTTTCTTTACTTTACACTACTTAATCAACCCGATTTGGACCGAACGTTGTTTTGCTTCTACACTTAAGTTTAAATCGACCTTTTTTCATATCACACATAAGTCTGAAGGTTTTGTTTAAATGTATACCTTACGCAGTTTACGATTAACGAATGTTCAGGAATATCGTTTTGTTTTTTTAGTGATTCCATATCTAGGTCCTTTAATCGAACCCTCACCGCGTCCTCATTTGTTCCCTTTTAATATGATCAAGGCTCAAATTAATTTTTTGTCCACGGGGGCTCTTCCAAAAAAAAAAGAGCCCCCGTGAGCCCTCTCACGGGGGCTCTTTTAGTACCGACGGGGGCTCTTTTTTTAATACAAATTTGCATTGAATTGGTACCCATGAAACTCCTAAAATCCTTGGTATTTTATCATTATCATTTATTTAAGTCGGCATTTTCCCTCTTAGAAATTTACTTGTTACATAGATCTAGCTGTTATTGACTTTTATCTCCGTAATGACATTCTCTCCATTTCTTCCCGCTCTGCACATAATGTCCTCCTCATTATTCGGAGCAACCTTATTTACATTCTTTCTTTACTTTTAGTTTTTACCATATCCTTCCAAAACACAGGGGCGGATCTAGCTTTTGCTAAGGGTGGGGGGGGGGGGGGTAACCCAAATACGATGTGGAGCATCGTCCACGAGCCGCGTAGCGGCGAGGCAATTTTTGTTGTTGCTATTTTGAACCCCCGTAAGTGATGTTTTCCTGGCATCTACTAACATGCGGAGCATTGTCGACGAGCCGCGAAGCGGCGAGGCGATTTTTTGGCGCTATTTTGAACCCGGCCCCCCACTCAATGTTATTTAGGGTACGCATATGCTCGTTCCCTCTTTTTGAAAGCACCCCCTATCTGAGGACTGCCAATATTTCCGAACCCCCCTTTCGCGGGCTTTTCCTGCCTTGGAGACCCCCCCCCCTAAATCAGAAAAAATGCTCAATGTACCCCCCTAAATTCGGAATAATTTCTCAGGAGTCCAAAGAGATGAGAGAAAAAAGAAAAAAAAAACACCCCCTTTTTAAAGAAATCTCCGGGTGAAAAGTCAAATACACCCCCTTTTTTACAATTCTCGGGCCGGACTTTGTCGCACGAAAACTACCCCTTTACCGGACATTTTGGCAACACGCATGCGATCATTCCGACCTCTGAGTGGGGGGGGGGGGGGGGAGGGGGGCCGGGATTTTGAACCCCCGTTCGCGATGTTTTTTCTGGCATCTACTGACATCTACTAATACTGTGTAGGTCTGGACACAATGACACATGATAGCATTTTTCTATGCACATCACATTTTCACTTGGCAGCCCAAGGGGGGGGGGGGGTGGTTAAACCCCCTAAACCGCCTAGATCCGCCCCTGCAACATATTTGGTGATCTTCTTCTCAATATTGATTTACTGGTCGAGTTACATTATTTGCTGATCTTTTAGAATAACCAGAATTCAGAGGATTCACACTTTTCACAACGAAAAACTTCTCCATGTTTTAGTCCTTGCGCGATCGTCTCCAGCTCCAGCAGATATTGGGCGTCAGCGTGCACAAAGGTACTAACGGCGCAGTATAGCCACTGCTGACGGTCGCACTACAGCTGCACTGCGAGCTCTGTTGTTTGTTTCGGTAATACTCATAGAGATGGGAGAGAAAGCGCCATCTAATTAGTTCCATTTAATTGGTTTGAAAATTGATACTCAATATTGTGTTAAAGTTATATCAGAAAAGATAATCTTTATTTTATAATTCCACGGGGGCGATTTTTAATTTTGCAATCGCCCCCGTGAACCATCTGACGGGGGCGATTGTGGAGCTCACGGGGGCGAATCGCCCACCGCCCCCGTGTATTTTGAGCGTTGAATATGATATTCTTTTTAATACTTGACTTTAACTAAAGGCTTAATTATGTTGGGAATATCTAGGCCAATTCTTTTTTAAACGACCATCCCTAATCACAATCATAGTGCTTTATTCAGGAACAACGCCTCCTTTAATTGTATTTTAGTTCTGTTGCTCGCAATCATATAGAGGGGAATGCTGCTCTGAATTCATCGAATCAAATTAAACCGAAATGATTAGACAGGTTCACTAACATTATTTGAATTTATGGATGTTTCTTTCCTGGGACCTAGTGACGAGTTATTCAATAAACCTTTTGTTAACTACATTACTTGTAATCCAGTTGGCATAAATTACTTGTTGATATGTTTGACAAACCTCGGGCAAGCTTCAGGTTTTCATGAATAACCTTCGTTTAAAAAGTATGCATAACATTTGAATATGTTCGTTAACCGGTCTATTGATTTAAACTGAACTGGATTAAATCATCAAGGCTACAAACTAGCAGTAAGTTCAGACTTCACCTACCCCATCGTTCAGAGGTTGGGATGACTAGAGACCCGCAGTAGATGATGACCATTAATACGGTAAGGCCCATGAGGAGTTTGTCGTGTTCATCTTTCCCTTTGTAGCTCGGTGGGGACCCCTCTTCCAACGCCATGTCATTCTTTTTGGAAGGCATATTGCATGGAAGTCAGTCTGATTATACAACGGTGCTGGAATACTCTTGCGATGATGAAGACGATGTTGATGACTATGTCGACGATGACGAAAATATCAGACGGTGTGATCACGGTCTGAAGGGGAATAAATCGCAAGGCCAGGGGTGTCTTCAATTGTTTATCACTAGCACAGAAACTTTTCCTGAATATTGCATAGAGGGTTAAACAGAAATGATGTAATTTACTAGTCTTTGTACAATGGTTTTGCTGACAAATTTATTTATCCTCTCAATGTGAGGAAAAACATCAACGTTGGATGTCATCCAACGTTGATGATGTTTCCATTTTACTTGACTTCTAAGAAACATTACAATGCGTATAGTTGAATAATGGGGGACCTACGGCTTTAAGTCATATATGAAGGACTTGCTAAATATTGAGAATCATTGCATTAATCGAAGGACACTGGTGCATGGGTCTCGAACCTAGGACCTTCTGGTGGACAAGCCCACAATCTTACCGACTTTAAAATTGAAATCTTTCAGGCTTAGTTTGTGTACAAAATAAGAAATAACTTTGGTATAAATCTCACAAAGATATTAAGTGACAAAGTGTATTAAAAAAAGTTTTACAATCCGAGGGTAAATTGTCAAAAGTTAGTAGCGTTTGGGACACATCGCATGATGGCATATCACAATCTATGCTTCCATAAAAATCATGTAAATAGTACAGTTTTTTCTTTACAACAAGCTTAATGTAGACTAGGCCCACCGACTCAAATCGAATGTAATCTGTGAAGAAATAATAAAAAGCTACATTTTCCTTAATGTGGGCCTCTACAATGAATAATCATAATGGCAAGATACGTGAGCTAGATATACCGTCAACGTCTCGCATTAACCTTATTTGATACACCTGATTAATTATATAATCTGTTGACTCAATTTGCTATTGGAGGCCCCCAGTCTTGACGGATGTGAGTATTGCAGCATTCTTATAGGAGAATCAGTAAATTTGTGTATAATCTATCGTGCATCGCCAAATGTAAATTTTATTTTTTAGATGCATGTGCGTTATTTTCTGAAGAATTATAGCATCGATCCTAAGCCTATTGATAATCCAGGCATGAAATATATATCGAGTGCCTGAATTAAATTGTGGAGCGCCAGGAGTGTCAAGTTTGACAGACATGAGCATTATTAAGTATAAGACCCCCCCCCCCTTTTTTTTTTCCCTCTCTCTCTCTCTCTCTCTCTCTCTCTCTCTCTCTGGGCCCGCCACTGCATATTCAATGTTCAATCGCCGCAGTGGACGCGCCTGACCCCCAATGACCCCGGAACAATGAACTTGACCCGACATCCAGCGGTGAGTACTATGTACATAACCATGGCAATGCGTTTGGATATTGGTAGCTTTAGTAGCCTACAATATAGGCCCAAAACGACTGACGTGTTTATGGACCTGATATAGATCTATAAGTATAAAGTAGCAACCAGAAGGGATGGGTACAGATTACTCGGGTTACTTTTCTAATGTTTGGAATTTTGAAATAAGTAGGCACAACAAGTACACTTGAATAAGAGCGACTTAAAGTCAAATGTATGTTGTCCTATATGTTAATGACTTCTTATACGATTCTAGTATTTTTCTGACAATAAATTGAAAGCTATCCCTACTAGAAGTGGCCATCACAGCAGACCAGCTTCACAACATATGACAGTAATCCGTTTTCCAGATTCCATTATTCTTAGTTATGCATGGGACGAACGAGAATACAAGAGAGAGAGAGAGAGAGAGAGTGGGAGAGGTCGAGGGAGAGAGAGGGAGAGAGACAGAGAGACAGAGAGAGACAGAGACAGAGACGGACAGAGAGAGAGAGAGAGAGAGAGAGGGGGGGGAGGGGGAGGGGGGCAGAAATGGCCCGGGCAGGGCGATCAAGATCTCCGTGTCTACGAGTAGATGAATCTCCTTTCCCAACTATTCGCTATTTACCTATCGAATTCAAAGCAAATTGTTCAATATGAAAGGTCAAATATATTACAATTCACAATATGATTCTACATCTCATGAACACTGAAATTATACTGGATGGTATTAAACAGGTATATGATAAACACGTTGCCACGATCATAGGCTCATAGATAATAACACAAATAATGAAAACTTACCACGATATCAGGACATCGTCCTGGACTTGGCAAAGTTTGCCTTAGATATGAAGTGACTTTAGACTATGCACTCTCTAGCTAGGAGATCTTTTATATAAGCAATGCAGGATACCTTGGGCTAATACTGCAGTTGTATATGGAGCTTCGTGTGAATAGAAAGTGTTGTCCTCCTCTGGCTCAGCTGTAGTCTTTTGTGATGTCAAATTGTCATTGTTCCCGGGGTCTCCTTCGATCGAACAAACCTGTTGAATAACTTGCATAAGCAGAGATGTATTTATATACTGTACTGTACTAACGCATCAGTGCCTCCGTGATACATATATAGTCGCTCTTCAAGAGATATTGTGATAAAAACATGAAATTAATGTATCATATCAATATGGTATAAATTATCGACTAATTAAATCAATAGTAAAGAGAAGAAAAAGAAGAAGAAGAAAAAGAAAGAAGAAGAAGAATAAGAAGAAGAAGAAGAAGAAGAAGAAGAAGAAGAAGAAGAAGAAGAAGAAGAAGAAGAAGAAGAAGAAGAAGAAGAAGAAAAAAAGAAAAAGAAAAAAGTATTAGCAGCAGTAGTGGTAGAGGTAGTAGTTGTAGTTACTTTTGTTACCGTGTGTTGTTGATATTATTGCTGCTGTTATTGTTTTATATATTCACCTCAGTATCTATGAAAGTCATCGATGGTGTAAACTGATGAATTGAAAAAGTTTTGTCTGGGCACAAGACTTCAAAATAAACAAAGTTTCCAGCACCATAAACTTGGCACGGCTGCAGTTCACCGCTTGCATACAATAATCATGGTTGCATAACGTAAAATATGACCTCCTGATTTGTTTGTATTCAAAAGATAGCAAATACTTAGCGTTATTATAGCCGTCTCTCTCTCTCTCTCTCTTTATCTCTCTCTCTCCCTTTTCTTCTTCTCTTTCTTTCTCTCTTTCTCTCCCTCTCTCTCCATCTCTCCCCTCTGTCTCTCTCTCTCTCTCTTCCTCTCTTCCTCTCTCTCGCACTCTTTCTCCTTCTCTTTCATCTGCATGCAAATAATATGATAAAATGGAAAAATAAAATAAAAATGAAGCCGTAAAGGAAAGTTAAATTCACAAATAACTTTTACTGAATGAAGTGCATTCATTGATCACATTGGTGAGATAAGGCACACATATTAACAGTACTTTACATCGTCCTAAGAATATTATTTGCCTCAAGAAGAATAAGGAGAAGGAGAAGTAGTGGCAGAGGTAGTAGTAGCAGCAGTAGTAGTAGTAGTAGTAGTAGTAGTAGTAGTAGTAGTAGTAGTAGTAGTAGTAGTAGTAGAAGTATAAGTAGTAGTAGTAGTAGGTGTAGAAGTAGTAGGAGTAGAAGTAGTAGTAGTAGTAGTAGTAGTAGTAGTAGTAGTAGTAGTTGTAGTAGTAGTAGTAGTAGTAGTAGTAGTAGTAGTAGTAGTAGTAGTAGTAGAAGTAGTAATATTAGTAGTAGTAATTGTTGTTGCTGAATGTTGTTGATACTGTTGATGTCGTTATTGTTTTATATTTTTACCTCAGTTTTGGGTAAAAGGTACATAACGTAAACTTATATATAATTGAAAAAGTTTTGACTGGGCACAAGACTAATAGATAAATAAAGTTTTCAACACCATGCCAAGTTCAAGGCTGTAGTTCGACGCTTACATAAAATATCGTGGTTTCATAATGTAAAATATGACGTCATTTAGTGATTGAACGCCAGAACATTATGCCAAATGTTCAAAACAATAATACATGACAGTTTTTTTTATTGAAAAGATTGCACAAACTTGGTGTATAACCATAATATCTCTCTCTCTCTCTCTCTCTCTCTCTCCCTTTCTCTCTCTCTCCCTCTCTCTCCCTCCCTCTCCCCCTCTCTCTCTCTCTCTCTCTCTCTCTCTCGCACTCTCTTTCTCCGTCATCTGCATGCAAATAGTATGATAAATGGGAAAGTGAAAATGAAATAAAAATCAAGCCGTAAGAAAATTTTAATTCACAAATAACTTTTACTAAATAAAGTGCATTTATTTATCACATTGGTGAGATAAGGCACACATATTAACATTCCTTTACAACATCGTAAGAATATTATTTCATCTTTAACATCTAGGCAAAATGGCTTGCAAGTAGTTCTGTTAAAGCAAAATAGGCACACACACGAATTAATGTTTAACAAAATATTAAGATCTCACACTTTTCTATAAAAACAAGTTACCGTCATTCTAATGTGACTTTCATTCTTAATTTAGAGCCTCCTCGATTAACCTTAATGAAGGATTGAAGTAATTTTGGCATGAAAACATTTTTCTAAATTAAATTGCTCGAACCAATTCATTCCTACTCAACGGGACACAAATTTTCGGTAGAACGCCAGCTACGTTACCAATCAGTACAATTACAATTACACCAGTTCAATTTTCTTTGATCAGCTATGATTAATTTTGTTCAAGCTCAAATTTGTTCCAGTTGCAAAGTTTTGAAGTTATGTTACATTTCAAGACATGCTTTAACTTAGGCACAATTATAATAAAATTTACTGCAAATCATCTTTCAATTTTTCATGACATAGCTATATGACGGACGGACATGTAATCATAATAACAATAATGCTAAAAACATATTTCTGGAGAAAAAAATAGGAATAATACTTGAACTGTATTGCACATAGTAAACTATTCATGTGTTCAATATTATTTTCTTTTGATTCAGTAACTGCAGCATCTAACGATCAGGTAGTCCCCATCATTATTGTTCCTGTTTGGAGTGGTCTATATACTCGTATTTTGAACTAGAACATCAAAATTAAAGTTTACATCAAAATAATATCGCCCATCGAAGGGGAAGGGGAAAAGTATTTAAAAACCAGTTACCATGGTTACTGAACAATATGGCGCAGTTAAAGTTAATAACCCAAATTACATTTGTTTATCTAAATTTTAATTCCAATTTATTAAAAGACCTTTGGCCACCGTTTGTTTTCTTACATTATAATTTATCACTGCTAAATAAAAAAAATTGATACAAGAAATTGTAACATTTATATGGAAAATTAAAAAATATATTTTGCATATTATATTTTTTGTAATCAATAACAAAGGTACAGCTTCAATCATGCAAGTGTATGAAAATAAAACTATGAATTACTATCAAGTGAGTGTCTATCACATGCTTAAACTTTATTTAGGCTATATTTAAGACAAGTGTAGCACTTTTAATCTGCATATTTAATACAGGAGCTTTCTTACTGCCAATCCGATACTATACATTACACGCAAACCCGATTTTAGCTATTTTATAGTAATACTTTAATAATAATAATAATAATATTTAGCCTTTATATAGCGCTTAATACATCTACGATGTCTCGAAGCGCTTTACAGATTTACTATTACCCCGGTCGTTGGATTCAATACTTGCCCGAACAAACTGTGTGCACAATCTCCACTCCATGGGGAGCATTCCAGCCAGGCGTTACTTGACGCTCAAAAACTGTTTGACCAACAATGACTGTCGCATCCTATCGAGTACCCATTTAACACATGGGTGGAGAGTAGCAAGTGCTGGTTAATATTTTGCCAAAGGATATTAGTGAAGTGTCGGGATTCGAACCCTCGACCTTCGCATCTCCCGTCAAGTGCCTTAAACCACTCGGCCATGGCACTGCCTTAAGAGTCACCCATACATAATTAATAAACAGATTCACGTATTCGAAGGCATTGAAATCATAATTACATAAATCTGATTGCAACTATACTGTACACACACGTATATCTCATACAAAACCCTTGCCACCGAATCGACAATCGTCATTTCAACAAAGATCTACGAATTTTCATAATAAAAGCACACCTCCTAATGCATTTTTCTAACTTGTGAAGACTATTTTGTAATGTATGTTCATTATCGACTGAATGTCAAGGACTACATAACATTTGGAATACATGTCCATACATTATAAAGGTAATGGTCTGGGCCATTGAAATTGACCTTTGACATTTTTCGAAATTTGTTGCACTCATGTAAAAGGTATTTTCTCAATAAATTGACGGTGGCAAAAAAGGTGGCAAAAAAGGTGGCGAAAAGGACAGCGGTGACGACGAGGGGTGATGAGGACGAGGACGATGACGGCAATGGTATTATGCTCACCGACGACGATGCTGATGTTGACTCCCACTTTACCACAAAAACGGTAAATTAGCCTCATATAGTCACATTCCAAACATTAACGATTTAAAAAAAAAAAATCATCTGGAGTACTTGAAATCAACTATCTTCGGTAGAAGCAACTTGTGTGCTTCGAAACTAAACATTAATTTATTCAATGACGATGCTGCAAAACTAAATACATTAAATAAAAGCTTTGATACATTGACAACATCATCTGAGCTCGTCTTAAGAGGCATAACGTCCATCTTTTCGATCACTAAAGGCTCAATGAAACCGTGGTCGAGTCTTTTAAGAATGTTATCACACACTAAGACGATGTCTTTGGGCACACACATAAGAACCACATCCCACTATAAGAGGCGCGTGATGAAATGACGTCATTATGGCCGACTTTGGCAAGTTCGTTCGAAACTCTGGCTGTATAGGTTTCCGTCGATTAAGCAGTTTTACTTCTTCTTTTTACCTGTAGGCAAAGATTAAAATGAAAATAGAATGGTCGTAATAATTCTAAAGAAACATCAACAACAAAAAATACACGATAAATAATTCACAACATGGATTGAAGGAAGTGTAAATTTTCATAAGTAAACTATTTTCCGTCACCCGGCGTTGAAGTAGAAGTTTTCAAGCAAACTGGACCTGCTGACAAGGATAGGGTGGTGCCAAATAATCCCCTATCCATATTTTCCAATATAGCTGTGATTACATTTCTTGATCTTAGTACACAGTTTAGAATTTAAAATGGAACGTTCAGTAAAATTTCGAATATAGCTTTATCGAAGCGGGAAGTCATATTTTCTTGTCCTCGTAATCTCATAATAACAATTTTTTTTTGACAATTCCATTTTTTCGGACTGATTATGGTACAAAAGGAGGATTTATCTTGGCCTGTTATATACATATGTAAATGGGCATATAAGTCAGATGGACCGCCACCACATGATGTATATGAGAATATCTAAATTAGCTGAATGTGTTTGATATGTTAAAAAACTAAATTAATAATATTGAAATATGAATTATGATCAAAGTAGTAATTTACTTATAAATAGTATTCATGATTATTAGTTATTATGATGAAATTGTCTCGTATATAGTATAACATGTCCACATGGTTCATGAATGGCAAGTTAATACTGTAAAAATGAACTTTGGTCATTATTGTCATGTGTTGATTAATAATCATGAGCCTATTGTGATTATCATTTAAAGGGACAACTAGAATATAAACAAATGAAATACAATCAATGAACATGATGCCAAAATCCTTATAGCTTTCAAACAATAATAATGACGTGACCTCCAAACATCCATGTCAGAAGAACCATTGTGATAGCTCTTTTTTTGTTGAGTCTCTTGTTTTGTAAATGAAATGTATTTGCGAATGTTTTGTTCACCGAGTATATTATTCAATTAAATTACTTCTTAATGAAACGGTGAGCATGAGCATGACCAAATCGTATAGAACTCAACAAATATGCAAGCATCACAAATTGTCCATCTTACCTATATCTACCCAATCAACAATCTATTAAGGACAGAGGGGGGAGGGGGGGGGGGAGTAAACAAAATCAAATTGATTAGATAACATGATGAATTTCCAATATATCCTGCATGGCGCGGGTTGCGTTGCCGGCCTTTTTCATTTCCGAAAGCGAGGTATCTAACGAATGTTTAATCTTGTAAACTTAAATGGCTGCATTCGAAATGCATCTGACAATTACATTTCGACATTGATAACAATTTAATGTTGATTACAGAGTCTCTGTCATTGGGAATATTGCTATCATAATCGTGACTGTTTTTCTCGACTCCAAAGCATCATACTGTAGTTGTCATCATACTTTATGAACACATTGCTACATCGATTTCTTACCTTTCCCTTTCTTCTTGCCTTTCTTTTTCTTGCCGCCCTTTCCTTGTAATTTCCGAATGTATGCTATACAGAAAGACAAAAAATAAAATGTCCAATCCAGTACACTGTTCCACACAAAACAAATTTTAATTAATAACAATCAACTGCTACAAATCATACTTTAATCAAACTTGTCTCAATTTCATTGGAATGTTTAAGGTGTCATTGGAATGTTTAAGGTTTAATTGGGAAATCAAAGACATCTTGGTTTTAAAATCAATTGAATTTTTCTTTTTAAATTGTATTAATAATAATAATAATAATAGCTCATTCTTATATAGCGCTTTTCAGGACCGCAGGCTCTCTCAAAGCGCTTTATAGATGAGTATATTATATTATTTTATTCGTATTCAGGGTCAATGCAGTATCTAGACCCAATAGCACAAAGAACAGAAATTGAGGTTCAGCTATGGATTTATTCTTATACTTGCTTAACAGGTATGATCACTCAGAATGATGGCTTTAAATTATAGTTCCACTTCATAAAATGCATGCATGCTTCTATTCCTTTCCATCACGACAAGCCTCCCTATAGATGTTGGAACTTTTCCGTTTCTTAACAATATAGTTTTCCATCTCTCAAGCAAAAATAAATACATATAAATTAAGAAAACATGAATATATGTCATATATTGCTCATACCTATTGCCCATTTCATTCCGCAGTAGTCTAGCGCATCGATTAGTCTCTTCTCTGTAGCCGCAACTCCAGACGTTTCTTCCCAAATGAGGAGGCTGTACAGCGCTTGCTCTCGGACCTTCTCGTACTTGGTCTCGATCTTGACGACGAAACCGCCTGTTCCCAACTCTAACGCTACCCTCTTCCAATGGTGTCCAAGTTTCTTGGCTACCGGATCCAAAATGTTTATAAGTCCTGAAAGAAAAAAAGAGAACAAATTAGAACTAATTTCTTGATAGGACGTACCCGCCTAATAAAAAGGTTCTTTCAACCAAGATTCATTGCTGGAGAATTTATACCTTTGACGATGATTTGGATCTATGTGAAAATATGTGTTGATTGCTTATAGACCATTGCCAGATTGTATTGGGTAAAGCAGGCCCGTGACACTCCCCCCCCCCCCCCTCCAACCCGCTTTAATCTCTATCTGACATTTAGTCTTCAATAAGAACGTTCTTTTTTTAATTTCGGGGGGGGGGAGGGGGAACTTGTTAAATATTGTTTGCAAGAATGCCCCTCCCTTTCATAATCCCGGATGTATCCCTGGAATGGGGAATCGGCTTTCTCAAATGTTGCTTTCTCTTTTTTTTTCCGTGGGAGAGCCGAGTTGAAGAACTGGTATACCACAAGGATGACGATCTATTTTCATAATATCCAGCCATGTCGACAAGAGTTTCAGCATTTTAAGATTTTGGAGTAAAAAGGGGAATCCGGGCTGACAGCGATTCCTACTACAATTAAATTGATGGTGTTAATTAATAAGTAGGGGTTGACCACACCATCCCCCTCCCTTTATTTTCCTCTCGTGACGCCAGAACCTTCTCTCTTCTCTCTCTCTCTCTCTCAGTAGTCGTTTTTATCGATTTTTTTTTTTATTCTTCTGATTTATATCACATTTGCCAATTGAGACGTTAGACTATCAAGAAACTTACTTGAGAAGTGTTTTTGCTCTAGAAGATCTGCCAAGAGACTGAACTCTTGCTTTCGAATGCCTTCGACAAACACCTCAAACTCCCGAACCCCTCTCGTTCCGAGCTCGGCTACGATTTGACGGTTCGTCTCGGCGTTCTGCCCCTTCCCCATCCGTCTGATAAGACGAGCCTTGTCGCTGTCAATGACCACCTTCTCGAGGAGGTGCTTGACCATGTCATAGGCCATCAACGTGTTGGCCAGTGGCTGGGCGTACAGGACTAAGATCTGGCGGCATTCTTGGGTCGCTGTTGAGAAAATAAGAAGAGATACCGGTAGTTATAGTTTAGTCGAAATGTAAGAATAAATTATTGGATTCGTTTTCTATATTAATCCTGAATTGAGCAAGACAAATGCGACTGTGTCTCTTATTATGCCACCGCCCTAAATTCAGGATAGGAGATGGATGAAATTATTCAAGACATATCACGATAAAAACAAAAAGTCTAGAATCAAATGTCAACTGACCACTTTGATCTTGACCTACTTACCCCATTATTCCCCAAAATGTAATTGGATCATCTTCCTATAGTTTTACTGTCACCATGTTGAGATATGACAATAGCAAGGCAAAAAAAAACTTAATTTAAAAAATCTCCCTCTCTGACCTTTGACCTACATGTACATACCTTAAATCTCAAGATTATCCTCCTATGGATATGGGGATACATATTATCAACAAGTTCGAGCCTCATCTCTACTGTCTCTTGAAATATCTTGATAACGACGTCAATACATGGACTTTCATAAGTCCATGAAACTAGGTCGAAGGTCAAACGTCACAGAAGACAACTATTGTCTTCTGTGACCTTCGACCTAGTTTCTCCAAAATCTAATCAGATTGTCTTCCTATGGTGATACATACTATCATCAAGTTTGAAGTTCATAACTTAATAACATAACATAGTGGATTCCAACATGACAGATACCCAAATACTAAGGGGAAGATTTTCACCCCACAAAATGTTTGTAATATTGATACCTTCCACCCATCCGTCAACCTCCTCTTTGCTATAACCATCAAAGCGAGCCCTCCCAACGATGGCTAACATCTGACTACGCATGTCATCTGTTTTCTCCTCCTCTTTGTCATCTTTGTTCTTGCTTTCGGCAGCCTTTTCCTTCTTTTTCTTACGTTTTCCCATTTTGGAGACTAATATCTATCAATTCTTGTCAATGGCAGCTCGCTCGCTCTTTATTAACGTAAATGTATTTGTAAGCTTAAACAGACTTGTGCGTGATCGGACACAAGTCATGTTGCTAGTGGTAACGGGCTGCGGGAAGGTAGGCAGTTTGCGCATAAAGGTAAAGCGCGCTATATTGCGTCAACAATAGGCGCATTGTGACGGCATTTTCATATTGTCTTACTTTCATGGAATCTTATTTTCATGAAGGCATGAACATTGATTTGCAAAATTATGTAAGTGCATGTATTCTTCAAGAAATAAACAGAGATGAATTATTTCACTCCTACTGGTACCTCGCTTTATGTTTGGTTTTGTTCTCCACTGCCTTTACTGATCCATATACATGTATATCATTTCCAAAGGCCTCACTAAAATCTCAGGCAGGGAGAAGAGAGAGAGAGAGGTAAAAAGATTAATTTTAAGGAGAAAAAAACTTCCCGGCCCTTGGTAACTCCGGGAAAAAAAATAATAAAGGGGGAAATTATCACCCCCAAACTGTTTGTTAAATAGATACCTTTCGACCGTTCGTCAACCTCCCCTTCCTCTTCCGGAGAACCTCGAGAGCAAACCCTCTCGATGATGCCTAACATCTGACTGCGCATGTCATCCATTTTCTTCTCCTTTTTGCCGCCATCTTTGTTCTTGCTTTTGGCTGCCTGTCCCTTCTTTTTCTTACGTTTTCCCATTTTTTAGACTAATTTTTATCAATTCTTTTCAACGGCAGCTAATTGCTCTTCATTAATAAAATTGTATTTATTTGTGAGATTAATCAGATTTGTGCGTGATCGGACACATGTCATGTTGCTAGTGGTAACGGGTTGCGGGGAGGGTAGGCAGTTTGCGCATAAAGGCAAAGCGCGCTATTGCGTCAACAATAGGCGCGTTGTGACGGCATTTTTATGTGGCTTGCTTTTATGGAATGTTACTTTCCTGCAACTAAACTTTAGACTTACTTCTTATATTCTGTGAGTAATTCAAAACGTTCAACACAATATTTAGTTGTGTTCCTAATCCTATACATTGCTGTACATGTACATGTAGGTAACATTGCCGCCTTTATTTATTCACATCTCTACACTATTTTCTTTGCATGTACATTTTTGCAAGGCCCGTACATGTATTGTGAACTGTCAATATGCCAAAGCACGAAAGTAGTCTATGTACATTCTTTCCACACAAAGTTTGAGATAGAGCCCTGATTTTCACTCAGAGAGGGGTCAACGCATCGGATGAATTTAAGAAAATGCTGCATCACTACTCTATGCCCCCCCCCCCCCCCCACCGTTGACTTGCCGCCCCGAGACCATCAGCACATTGTGTATCCTTTCCTTGTTACGTTACATCATCGATCTGTCGAGGGTAACCCTACTTTATACACCATTGCACTAGCTGGCGACGGCTCCTTCAATAGTTTTATAATCAAAGCTTCTTTATATCATGTTGTTAATTCTATACCTACATGTTCCTGTCTCTTCCCTTATGTCCATCTCGTTGTCTATTGGAGAACTTGTATTTTAGGGAACTAAGATTGTGCAAGGCCTTTATTTATGTAGTTCTCCCATTCATTTTCAGCTCCTTTTTTTGCCCCAAATCTAGAGCATCCAGGTATAGCCTCATCGGTAGATTGACAATGAAGAGGCCCCTATTATCTATACGTTTATCCTTATCCGATTATTCCCCTCGCGCCTTCTTCACAGCATGATTTAGGGCTTAAGGAATCTTGTTGACGGATTAAAATTACTCAAAAGCATCGTCATTTCAATTCAAAGATATTCAACCGTTTCTCAAGAACGATTAAAAAACATTTAATGGGATTTAAATATTTCGCTCATCCTTTACTATCCCTCTTGACAGTTTCTAGCTGATAAAATCGCTTAGGAGACAAAGAATGGTTAAACATACATGTAGGATCGTAAATATCCTGTGAACCAACTCAGTACACAATGCTAACGCGATTAATTGGTTTTGTAGCTATGGTTCAAGGGTTTAATGCAGAGAGAGAGAGAGAGAGAGAGAGAGAGAAGTCGATGCAATTTTCAGGATAAGAGAATAGTCGAGTAAAATGAACTTATTATACAACAAAAAACAAAACCAAAACAACGATAGGAAGGTGGGTCAAGGGTAAAGCCCCGTTTGTTCAGACTTTTGAAAGTTTTTCCCTAATTACTGTCAAGACTATGGCAAAAATCCATAGGAATAAAATGACTTTCAATAATATAAAAAATCCAGCAACATCCACGTTACTATTTCATTATTGTATGAATGTACTTATTTTGTTATTGTCTCGTCCTTCATCAACCGGTCATCAACTCTAATTTGGACTTTATTTTGCTTTGGAAGCACCGTTTCCGTCTTAAACAGATTAATTGAATATACATACACCTGTACATTTATTGGCATGTGGGATATATTCTTTTCTTGTATAGGATAACTCTTATATGTATTTAGTAATATTTATGAATTTATACCCGTTCATCACCAGTTACTACGTGAATTGATTTATCATTTGCATATTATAACATCATAGTGATTTATTTCCAAGTATGTACATTTTGTTTTATTTGTACGCTTTATCATTGGAAATCTTTCTCAACTTAACCACTGGCTGCGACAAAAAGATTTTAAAACCCTTCAATTCATTCAATTCAACGACAGTGATTCACCGTTCATAATATCAAATTTAGTCGGACCGAAACTCGCATATATTTTAGTGAATAAGAGTTCGTGTGTTGTTAGAGATTTTTGTTCTCAATAATGGTCGTATTATACATCGCGTTGGTGGTCTTCTGGAAAGCAATCGAGATAGTCTTGTATTATTCATGGCACGCGTGAGTGCTCATAGAAGTATTCTCGGAGTGGAGAATTATACATGTAGTCTGTCAAAGGATTTGGTAACGTACTTAGAAGGGAAAAACTGATTTTTCCAAACTTATGTCACAGTACATTAAATAGCATGACATAGGGATATTCATAAACTTGAAAATACAACAACAACAAAAATATAGGCACGTATCTTGAAGAAATGTGTATTGTATTTCAAAAGTTTAAATGTGCTATAACTCATTCAAACAACATACATTGTAAACAGCGATATTGCATTTGCAATAATACTTGTAATGCCAAGGTATAAACACATACAATGTTGATAACATTAGATTTGCTAATATGCAGGTAATCCTCTATCATAATTATGTCTGCCTTGCAACCAATGACTTGGTAGCATGAATTACAGATAAATAATCAGGATTTATGGCTTTAATTAATTAGTTTGTGCTCTTTTATTTCCCTATTAAAAAGCTTATCATCATAAGCATTCCAAAGTCGGGAATCAATACATAGGAGGTGAGTAAGGTACTGTTATCAAGAAGTCGAATGCTAATGATTTATTTGCTCCGTATATCTCGATGACGCCTCAAAACAAATATTAAGTTGACTCGCGAATGTAGACGTATAGGTGTGAGCCAAGTATCTGTTCTTTTATTCGCAATATACACTTCAAACACACTTGCAGTGAGAAAAATCAGGTCTGTTCGTTATTTCCACTAATATGGTTTATATTACCTGGTTAATCATTACATCCTTGATCAAAGATGTTATCGATGTTAATGACTTATTTATTGACTTGTTACCATTGTCACGATTGCCATGGACGTCTTTTAAAGACAACTGGCATTATTTGCACATGATAGGCAGAATCTGAGGCGGACTTCTGCCCGACAAAATATCAATACCATACACATTTTGAGGGGAAAAAAGGAGTGTATACTACACGCACATAATGATTTATTGTGACATAAATTATCGACATGATCAAAATGATAAGGCGCCATGCCAACCCGGGTTTTGATTCGGTTGGATGATCCAATGTGAATAGTTGGCAGAATGATTGAATACTATTGTATTGTTATGCTGTGATGAAGATATATGGGATTTTACATTTCACAAAGTGTTATGGATAATGGTAGAAGCATTTGGAGTGCCACATATATATTTTAACAATAGTAGCTTGCAGTGGCTGTATGGTAGTGACTACAATGCCTATAACAATGACGTATGTTCATGGAGGCTGCACAAAATCTAACAAGATAAATATAACGATGTACAACAGGAAGCTTCCAAGCTCCAGGTAAAAAGTAAGATGAGTACCATTGGGCAGTGTAAAAAAGTTGCCCCCTCCCCCATAAATTAACGGCATGAGTGAGTCGGAGGAGGTGGAGGAGAAGGAGGATTACATGATACAAGTATCATCACCGTGATGATGATGATGGAGTAAATCATTGTTTGACCTATTAACAGCATGACTGATGAAGTCATAACTTCTTGTGGACCCCTTTGAAAATCAGCTGTGCTGAAAGGGCCATCCACCCTATGAGAGGAAATTAATAAACAAAGATGATAACGAGGATGATGATGGTGCCAATGATGAAGAGGATGATGAGACATTTGTCAATGGTGTTGATGATGATGTGGAAGAGGTTGAAGATGATGATAACCTACACCATCATCCTCTGCATCAACGTGACAACGATGAGTAATAGTGGGACCTGATGAGGATGTTGATGAAAATGTTGAATTGTTGATGATGATAATTATGATATATAGGCATATATTATGATGAATATACCCGACATTACCATTACCATCACGACGATTGAACGTGATACGAAGAATAATGTGTCTGCGGTTAGTGACAGTGGGAATGAATCAATTACCCAACTGCATGACCTTGAACTGACAAAACAGATCTCCTAACTCCCTAATAGTAAAGGTGCCAATTATAATAATAAATCTATAATCGCTTTCACATTAATGTTGAAGAAAAAATACAATTTAAAAAAAAAATGATTTGAAGAATTCCCAATATTTTACTCACCAGGGCTAACATTTTCTTGATTAGGTGTGGAAGGCGGTTCGCCTTTCTTCTTCTCCTTCCCGTCGTCATCTTTCTTCGTTTTCGACTTTGGTTTCGCGACCGGCATTATGTTAATAAAGTCTGCACTATACTCTCAACTTCTCTTATAAATTCGGCTGTGAGGGTTTTACATCATACTCTACAGTTACCTAGATGGTTCGCGACAGTATCATCTTCGGTTCACTTTCGGCATGGCTAATATCCAAAGAACCTGACCGATACACTTCAAAGAAGAGATAACACGAACTCCAGAGTATATCTTCAATGCAACCGCAAGTTACCATTTACTGGTATAAATCCAATAACGCAACCTTCTAGACGATCGATCCTATTGAGTGTATAATGACAACGGGTACTTATCGGCGATTTCCAGAGAGAGCCATAGACACGAAGAACCAGTAACTTCACCGTTTACTTCCACGTCAGATCGTCACCAAAAACGAGAACATACACCACAAACTTGCCACAACTTCACTGACAGAAGATATTACCAAGTTGTTGATCTACCGACAAAACATAACAAGCAACATGGACTGGCTTAGTTTACATGTGCGACTGAACACGGGTGCTGGTGAAATCTGTAGTGCATACAGTCGATGTATACAACTAGTACTGTGTATGGTTTAGCTGGTCCCTTAGCTACCAGACGCTTTGCGAACTTTATTTGCATTCAGAGATCAATAACAAGGGAGGTCCAAACCCAGCCCCGTTGACCTCACGCACGCATTCACAAACCACGGCAAGTCGATACGACCCCGCGCGCACGCACGAAAGAACAATACGTGCGATTCTCCCGCAAGTGTTGTGTTCGATTTCTATTTTGGTGTTATTTTGTTTTGGGGTGCGTTCTCATCGTTTTTTTTAAGGTGCGTTCTCAATTTTTTGAAAGAGTGCGTTCTTATTGTTTGATCTGTGTTGACCCAGTTTCTTTCCCTTTTTTGTTGTTTGTGTAACTTAAAAATTGTATATTTCGCTTTCATGCTAATAGAAATATAAACTAGGATTTGCATTTACGTCCAGGTTAGTTTTTGATAATTATTAAGCAGATATGAAGTGGGGTATATTTTGTCTTCATTAAATATGTAAACATTTTTGCACATTTGAAAAAATAAAAAAATCTAGAACAAAAATTATCTTTTACACCTGACGCCAACCTTAATCAAAATGCCATTGTGTTACTTCTGTTGGATCGAGTAGGGGGTTGTCCCTGCCTGAGCTCCAGCTTCCAGGTTTGTTTGGAGTTGCGAGCAAGTGAGGCGATAGAGCAGACAAATCGACTCTTGTGTCAGCCAAGGTGAATGCAGCAGTTGGTTTAAATGTAAATTTACGAAGAGATACCTTACCTAGGTATAGCTACTGCCCGCGGCGGTTGGCCACATACAGCCCCGTATCCTGTTTGCTCTTTATCGGTTTTTTGTTCTCTTTCTCTCTCTCTCCCATTCTCTCTTTCTTTCTTTTTTCTCTATTTCTCCCTGTCGTTCTCTCTCTCTCTCTCTCTCTCTCTCTCTCTTTCTCTTAAAGTCTGTCTGTCTCTCTTTGTCTATCTCTATTTCTTTTTCAAAAATTAAGATTTTATTTGAACCGGAATTGCTCTATATGGTTGGTCCAGCCATTTTTAATCATAAAATGTTTAATGCATTCCGAGCACCAACACTGAGTATGAAAGCGAGACCTAACGAAAATAATACCAGTCCCATCCTTTTGGATTCAATTCCTTTAATGTGTCCTGCACAGAAAAACTATTTCAAAGACTAAAAGCATCGCTGGCCCGACCTCCTATCCTATTATCGACTTGAGGGCAAACTATCGATCCATCTCCTTCTAATCCATTGTTACAAACGAGTCTGACAATTCGACGAGAATCAATACCACCGTGTATACCCATTCTACTTATTGTTTGCATGCGATCCCCGAAAAGAATAACATTTATCATCAAAAAGTTCCCGCAGAGACCTTCGTATACCGTAATGTGTAGTTTCATCAGGGAGTTCCTGGTTTAATCACTAAAAGGAATACTTGACTTGTGATTTGAGAAGCTTATAAGCTTACATTTTGTGTTTCCTTTACCCGAGTTCATCTCCTTTTATTCGCTTTCACCCTTGATGGTGACCATGAACAAGAGCGTAGAGATTCTTTAATCGTGTGCGCTTGAGTGTGTGTGAGGAAGGGGAGGGGTTACCGATATACGAGGTTTATTTAATGGTTGTTACTGGATTTTATTTTATTCTTTCACCATCAGCAATACATGTCATTATTATCATTATTATTATCATTGTTATTATTATTATTGTTATATTTGAATGTATTATCATTATTATCATCATCTTTACCAACATCATCATCATCATCATCATCATCATCATCATTGTTAAGGGGCAGAAACTTTTGAGAAGGTTTACGCTCTTCCTGAAAAAAGCCCAAAAGGTTTTGTAATTCTATTTTTATTTATCATGATGTTTGAATTCGATCATCATTTTATCCACTCTGAGAAGTTGTTGCAATTGGTTTGCTAAGGAAAGTAATTCCCATTTCATATCAAGACAGGAGTTTAAACGAAGGGGTCCTTCAAACGAAGGGGGGGGGGGGGGCGTGCACCAGCACCAACTTTTACCGCGGTTCTGAAGCACGAATCTATTGAATTGGTTTAGCTACAGCGTCTTCAATTTCAGTTGTAAATTTTCGGTAACCAATAAAATAGAAAAAGTAATACTTGCAATAAATTGAACTAACTTGTATTGGGATGTAATTTTATTAGAGAATTATATGAATGTTTACAATCAGACAATGGTTTGAAGAAATAAAGTTAATATAGATATGAATTATAATTTCAAGCGCTTTTCTTATTCTGCTATTAATTTAATTATCCAGCAAATACGCAAAAGCTTTGAGAAATAGATTTGCATACAAAGTGTGGTCGTAATCATGCCCATCGACATTATATACAAATTCACAAGTAAATTTCGTGGTCTTTAGTGCCGCATTGGCCACACCCGACCAAGTTGAACTTACTGGGTACCTGAAATACTAGAACACCATAAGGACTTAAAAACAGAGATGTTGTATTGCTCTTTAGGTGCCAGCACCGGGGTCGGTCAGTAGGTTTTTTTCTTTTTCTTAATTAATTAAAAGCTTATTTCCCTCTTTAGGCTAATATTTTTCAATTTTGAATGCTTTTGTACATATTTGTTGTCATACATTGAGCATTTTGTTTCTAAAATAAAATAAAAGGCCGACCGTATATTTTTGAATTTTGGGGGTCGGTCGCAAAGGGTAATAAAACATTTTTTTTAGGCCTAATGGCAGCCATGCTAAAGACGGCGAATTATTGTGAAGCGTCAGGAATATCAATTCTGACAGACATGAGCACTACATGAGAGCCCACTAATAATTGTGTCTCCACGAACTGATACTCGACATACCTTCAGAATGTATATTGTTGAACGCCCTCTTGTGACATAGACATTATATTTTTTAATTTGACAACGCACAGGGTAAAAAGGGAAAACCCCTTACAGCACTCTCAACGAGATGCTATTTACACTCAATTCATCCACAAACGTACAATATTTAAAAAAATCGGTATCATTATCGTTTTTAGAATCAGCAGAATTATCACCATCATAATCATCATCTTCATCATCATCATCATTAATTTCATCACTATCATCATTATCACCACTTTCATTATGATCATCATCATTTTCATTATCATTTTCATCATCATCACATGATCGTGAATTTTGAAAAATAGTGTAGGATATTGCATGCAATCTTGTAAATGTACATGTATAATTATCACCTCATCCTATTTCCCTATGCCCTTGCGCCTCAGTACCCTTCCCCCATAACACTGCAAATGAAAAAATACAATAAAGCATTGTTCTTAATTATTGTCACCATCATGTCCATGGCTAGTCAAATGTCAAAATTCACAACAATCCAGAGACTAGCAGACGAAAATGAGTGCATATTTGTAAATACATTATTCGCGTTTTGTTAATCTATATTTCAATCCAAGGACCCGGAAATAATTAACCTTCACCAGTGTTCATTATTATCACTCTCGATCACGAAGTTCATCATCAACCAACCGACCCTGCAAGAATTGATTGGATTTTATTATTGCTGTTGCTATAGTTTTGCCCCTATTGTGTTGATGGTGCGATTGCACATATTTATCATTGTTATCTGATAATCCTTAGAGTATTGACTGTCTATACATGAAATATTTTCTTCTTCTTTTTGTTTTCTTTTGGAATATACATGGGTTTTCTTTCGTTATGAATATTGAATACAAAAGAAAATTTCTATATACGACATATCTGTGATCCAATACATTTTCACATTTTATTACCTTTCATTAATTTTTTACCAATTTTCAATTTTTCAATCTTTTAAATGAACCATACACATTAAAAAAGAGCATTGAAATTTACCAAAGGCGCGGTTTTCATATCTTCATGGCAACAACAAGCAGCTCGTCTATCCACGGCAAGAATAATAATCAACCAATTTGATAACGTGTTCCCGTATCCCATGGTATCCACAGAAACAAAACACCCACCTTAAATAATTAGGTTAATGTCATGTTCGCTGGCTCATGAGATTCAACGTCATACTGCATCCATCCGCCCCCCCCCCGCCCCCGCCTCCAACTCCACCTCGATATATACTATTTATTAGACTATAAACATCGCAACACACACAATCGATATATCTGATTGTTTGCCTATTTCTGGGCTGCACGGGAAAACTAAAGAACTGTGACAATAAAATTAATATTATTGATCATCTTCATCGTAAAATTGGTGACACAATGCGATCCGAAATGTTCAAGGTCTTACTGCATTTTGCAACTATGCCTAAATGATAGCTTTACGTAACTTCATATTTCTTGAACACTAAACAATAATGAGCAAACTAAAGAACTGTGACAATAAAATTAATATTATTGATCATCTTCATCGTAAAATTGGTGACACAATGCGATCCGAAATGTTCAAGGTCTTACTGCATTTTGCAACTATGCCTAAATGATAGCTTTACGTAACTTCATATTTCTTGAACACTAAACAATAATGAGCATGTTTGCATGGTGGGGGTACAGTTCACCACAGAAAGCTCTAAGTCCATCAACTAGAAATGCAAATGGTAAAAGTCATTGTACATCATATTCAGCGTTAATTCATAATTCATATTTTCTTACCCCCCCCCCCACCTCCCCCCCCCCCCCAAACACACCCATAAGTGTTGGGCAAAAGTAATTGGGGCAGGTAAAATTCAAGTGAATACGGACATTTTTATTATAGCTACTTTATGCTTGTTTGTATACAAAATTTATGTCCAGTTTTTATACTTCAAAATTGTACTCGATTTTTCGTCTGGTCATGTATTGCCGGTTTCAAGAGTGGCAATAAATATTGCCAAAGGACGTTAAAACTTGATTGACAAACATTGATAATGTCATACTTACTTCCCCAATAATCCGGTTTACATGGTCTCCTTGGCGACAAGACCTTAACTTTGACCTTCTTCCATCCAGCCTTCTCGGCCTCGGGTTGCTCCTCCAACTCTCCTCCCATCAGGGATCGCATCATCTTTATCTCACCATCTCCGCTCTCCATAGTTATCAATCCACTAAGCTGGTCTAAATCTCCATCAGAATGTCACTTATCGGAGAATTCTGTCTGGCGTTAGGCTTTTAGTAAGATTTGTCATTACAAACTACGGGTTCTGTGAATAATCTTACTGCAATGTTGTTATCAATCAATTTTGATATCCGTCGATATTCCTCCCTCTATAAGATGCGTTGATTCTGCGTAATAATAGTTCGTTGAAACTATATTTTTGTAGATAACCTTACCGCAGTATATCGTTATCAAACGATGATTATAATCATGGGTTGGTTATATTTCTCCGTTGTGTTTTTATTCACTCCTTTCTGACCGCAAAGCCGAAGGAAGATTAATTTCATGCATTAAAGATAAACCTGATGGTATTTGCAGTGTTTAGATTAAACAACGACGAAGTTGTTCTAATAATTCAGTTCTTTGAGTCACCAAGGCTGATTGTCATTTCGAAAATATTATGCAGATATTATAAGCATGATAACGTTTCGTTATCTTTCCTATCGCTCTTTTAGATAAGGGATTCGTTTAGGATCCGCCTCTCATACAACATAAAAGTCAGGTATCCACGATATGCCAACGCTTTAAGGGGAGACCTGTCAATTAAAAGTTATGTTGAAACAAACGAATAGCCGAGACACGTTGAGTCTGCTCGAAGGTTCCCTATCACCAAGACAATCGCTATAAATATTTTTTAATGATGATGATGATTGAAAGGTCTTGATGACGATATTGTGGTGTTGAACATGTACACGAATATGCAAAGGAATCTAGAAAGGGGTTTGAATTATGAAAAATTCCACACCTGCATGGTATCCTGGCAATTCATTTTATAGCAATCATGCGATGGTGCAAATGTGAGGGTTTGGAATGCCCGATTGGATGAAGGTGAGCTGCTCTCCGTCGTTGTTAAAATTGATGAGACGGTTGATGGCGACTAAAGCAAAAGTACCACGAGGATGTACACACACTATGATGATGAATACGAACAGACAGAAAGAGCGCAATCATGATGATCTTAAACTATCTCGATGATTATGATGTTGGCACTGATGTTGATCGCTGTGTAACTATCATGAAGTTAACTAGACAAATCTCTCAGCAAATCGTCATGATGTACGCTTTTTTATACGTAGTCAATTAAACTCTAATTCATTTCGTTGCCATAGTGATTTGATAGTCAATATCTATAGCTTGAGATATTATTCTATAGATGTTCCTAAATGAAATGAACAATCAATCCAAGTGGAGTTAGAAGACTAAAGAGGAAATAGCTGCTGCGATTACTGACTCAATAGTCGAGTGAGGCTTTCTGGGGTCTTTGTAAATGATACAACGAGGTTTCCATGGAAACAACCCATCAAAATGAATATTCATCTCGCACCAGTAAGCGAAACAAGAAATGCGCTGTCAACCTTCAGAGATATTAAATGATGAAATAAACCAATTATGAAATTACTTCACTGGAAGATGGATCGAGTATTGTTATCGAGCTATTAAAAGCAGATGTCTATTGTTGTCAATCTCCCACGAGCTATACCTCAGCGATGCTTTCATCATTATGCAATATTTTCCTCCGTTAGCACATAGAGCGACACTGCAATTTCTTCATGTTAAAAGCGAGAAAGAAATTCCTTTACACATCCAGATGCAGTGTCATTTATATGCCATATCAAACAGATTAACACTGCTATTAAGTGGCTACCTTCGGAATTCATGTGGGGGCGTTTAATTATCTTTTAGAGCCAGGAAGGGCCTTGACTTTCATATCTATTACATATGTCGGAGTTTTATCAATTTCTGTGTTGCACCACTAAGGATGACAGTAATATATGAAACTGTCACTTCCATTAATTAGCAATTTAGCACTGCCATTGAAATGAAAGCGTATGTTTACAAGCCCTTCAATTGATTAATTTTAATGCTTTAAATATTTGAATAATTTATTTGAACTGACTTCAATTCATTCGGCACCTCATTCTCTCACACTCTCTGTCTCTCTCTCTCTCTCTTTCTCTCTCTCTCTCTCTCTCTCTCTCTCTCTTTCTCTCTGTTCCTCTATGTCCGACATAACCCCTGCATGATCATATAATGCCCTTTTTTTCTTTACTTCATCTCTTCTCGCCCCCTTCTTTCCCCATCCCCCCTCTCTCTCTCTCTCTCTCTCTCTCTCTCTTTCTCTCTGTTCCTCTATGTCCGACATAACCCCTGCATGATCATATAATGCCATTTTTTTTCTTTACTTCATCTCTTCTCGCCCCTTCTTCCCCCTCCCCCTCTCTCCCCCTCTCCCTCTCTCTCTCTCTCTCTCTCTCTCTCTCTCTCTCTCTTTCTCTCTGTTCCTCTATGTCCGACATAACCCCTGCATGATCATATAATGCCCTTTTTTTCTTTACTTTATCTCTTCTCGCCCCCCTTTTCCCCTCCCCCCTCTCTCTCTCTCTCTCTCTCTCTCTCTCTCTCTCTCTCTCTCTCTCTCTTTCTCTCTCTCTCTCTCTCTCTCACACACACACACACACTCTCTCTCTCATCAATTTGATTTCAAAGAGTCAAAATAAATGTTGTATCCTAAATGCTTTGTGGGATTTTGTTGCTCATGATTGATGAGAGTAATGTCAAAGTATGGTATAATGATAGGCCTAGTACATGTATATAGCGATCACTTATTCGTAGGAATGTATCTATTCTTCTTCTTTTTCTTCTTCTTTTTCTTCTTCATCCAGAAAGATAAATAAAACTTGAAACTTGAACTCTTCTTGTTCTTCTTTTTCTTCTTCTTGTTCTTCTTCTTTCCCTTCATTAATATTCTCTCCTCCCCTCCCCTTCTTCTTCTTCTTCTTCTTCTTCTTCTTCTTCTTCTTCTTCTTCTTCTTCTTCTTCTTCGTCTTCTCCTTCTTCTTGGTCTTCTACTCCATTCCTTTGCATATTGCTTGTTTTTAAACTGAATGAGACAGACTAAACTTAACTTCCTGGATGAAACCCATCTCACCCAAAAGGCAAGCAAATTTGAGATATGTAATTACGATAGAGGGCGCTATGCTAGAAATAAAAATAGAATTATCTCATTTTCAGTGTCAAACATGGCATCCCAGTTGGAAGGATTTGTGAATTCTGTGGTTTCCCTGTCAACTGACGGTAAGTTTTTAAAGTGTATTATGAAAAAGTACTTCTTTTATCGCTAGCGTTAATAAGTTTGATGTTTTTATCAAGCTCTAGAAGCTTCAAAGAATATGATATTGGATTAGAATGATTGCATTGTCCCATACACTGAAATCGGTGTTGGATTGGAGCAAACGATTGGGTTTCCAATTGAGCAATTCCCATGGCCATTCACCACTTAGCCTTGCGGCGGTTCCGGCTAATCGCAACCGTACCTAGGTGATAATATAAAATATGATATTGATATCACGTAGCCTTAATTGGTATCCATACCTTTGCATGAAGAATGCAGGTAGACAAAACCTCAAATCGACTAATTCGTCCAAAATTAATTAGAGTCTACCGCTTTCCGCATCGGTCGATTCCGCCAAACATTGTCTAGATTTTCTAGGCCTAGAGAGTGGAGTAAAGGAGGGGGTTTTCGGCCACTTAAGACAAAATCCTATATTTTGGACCCTTTACTTCCTTTTTATTATCATTTCTTGTTCTAATCATGAAGCAAATATTATTTAAACAAAAAAAGAATCCCAGAAAATAATCACGAAGTGCCATGACAATATTCATTTCAATTTTCACTGTTTCGGAGGCAGTTATCGGCATAGTGAACCACTTTTCGGCCGCATGTAAAAAGTCAATAGGAAGCACGCGCTCCCGCTGTGCATTTCCGCGCTGATCTATAGCATTAGCGGGCGGAGCAGGTATCCCACGCCGGAGCTCCCCGGAGCTCGCCAGGCCGAAAACTAGTACTGCGATGATCGGAAATTGGAATCTGAATTAGACAGAGATATCGGGTGTGCGTTGCGGTGTGCGGCTGCTTTGACTTAATACATGCGGCGAGATACTTTTGAGCTTGCGACTAACAAAAAATCAGGCTCTAAATCTGAAAAATAATTGAAATAAAGCTCATTTTATGGTACCCATATGTCTTACAGACACGCATAATTCGTAAGATACTTGATTTTTCAGATTCGGGTTGCGGGACCGCCGATTACATCGCTCAGATGTGATATTTTAGGATATATTTTCCATTGCAAGTGTGGTTCTTCAGTGACTCTGGCATGGTATGGTATGGGTGGGATATGTCATATGCTGTTATGCGATGTAAAGGGTTTTTACCATGCATACGACGGATCGGCCGAAAACTGGTGATGGTCGATTACCCCCTCCTTTACTCTAGACTGGTAGTGGCTAGTGGGCTCTTCTTCTCATAAAAAACACTTTGAAATCAGTCAGGAAATAAATATAAAATGTGAGATTTTGCTACCAGAGTGATGGCAATTTGCTTACCTTCCATCATTCCATTTGATCCTGATAATAATTAGTGAAGGTGTGATTTACATTAGAAAAAACTGACCTAGTTTTACAACAGTTTACGATGTTAATGTTTAGTCTCTTCTTTCGCCTTAGTCAATGATATCATCATGTTTGTTGTTTCTTTGTTGTATCAGGTAATTATGCTCAGCTTTGTGAGGAGGTCACCAAGTGTTTGGAGTTATTGAGGAAGAATGCAGCGTATCTTGATACAGTGTTAGAGACCCTGGATCCACAGCTTCATTCTATCGGAGTCCTAGCCATCCTGTAAGTGTAATTTCATCAGCTGAAAGAACAAAGCCCCTCATAACTGATTCTGGCAACAATTTTTCACCTTCCTGTTTGATAATAGGCAGCCTTTTCTCACAGTTACTCTATGATATACATGTAGGAGATTAGACTTTAGAAGTAATGGTTGTAAGGAGATTAGACTTTAGAAATAATGGTTGTAAGGATTGCTTCATTGATTTTCCTTTCCTTCATGACATTTCAATGTTACTTTTCATCAAAATCAGAATCCTCAGGATATTGCATATTTTCTGTTGAGAGCCATAAGGGTGTTAGCATTGTGTTAAAGAAAATAAGTTGTCATCCCTCTTTTTCTCAACAGACGATATATAATTACTCACCAGTGTAGAGGTGTTTAAGTATAATACTGTTGTTTAAATGCCTTCCTGGTAAAATGCATCATACTTGATAGACAAATTCTGAACTCTGTCTTTTCCCAAATTCACCTCATTATGTATTGATGACCAAATATCTTTGACTTGCCCAACAATATTTCCATATACTTTCCTGAATTATGAATTAATATTTTGTTTCATGTATTCCCTTCACAGTAATGTTAAATTTCAAGTAGCCTCGTCTCCGTCAGCGACAGAGTTTGAAACACTCTTCTCTCAGACCCAACTCTTCTTCTCAACATGCAATGGAGAGCAAGTCAGGTTCACTACAGAAAGCTGTAAGTCCATCCACATTGGAAACGCAAATTGTAAATGTAGAGCTCTGTGAAGTTGTATATGTTCACAAGGCTGTTTGGAGTAAAGTCGATTTAAAGGCAAGGATGGATCCAGGATTGCAGAATTTTTTTTTTTTTTTTTTTTTTTGGGGGGGGGGGGGGGATTCCAAGACATTGATTCTTTTCCTCAAAAGTGGGGCCTTGGTTGTTTTGGCTACTTCTGGATCTGGATCCACCTTTTCCAGAGTTGCTGATCAATCTATGTGGCACAATGAGAGAAAATGACAATCAGTGATATGTCTGTACAGTGATTGTATAACCTGGAGACCTTGTCTTTCAGTTATTAAAAATAACTTTAAAACTAAAAATTTTGCAATATTTTAACTTGATTTAAAGGTACTATGTCCCATTTGCAGGCCATAAAAATGAAAAGGTTAAATTCCAATGGCATTTGAAAGATAATACTAATTTAGAACTTCCCTAAAGCAGGTGGGGCTTGGAAATGTCTTCAAGTGGGAAAATAACGACTATTAGTTATCAAATCGATTTAGGAGCTATAGAGCCAATAAGTAATAGTCTTGATTTTCAGAACATTGTACCGAATGGTCATTCGTGTAATGCTGCGCAAAGATTCAATCAGTTTAATTTGGGCCATCATTAGAAGTGGGTTATTGATGTATACAAATGCTCATGTACCCTTTACAGCTCATGTACCCTTTACAGCTCATTTTATGTATGTTATTACCAAAAAAAAAAAAAAGCCAGTTAGTCACTCAATAGTGTCTGACATTGAAGTCTAGCAAGTAAACGGGTTTCCTTGCATAATTTGAATATTAGGACACTGCTAACATTTAAATTTCACAGGACATACATGACATATTCATAATTCCTGCAAAGTTCTACAGAATTTGAGGTTGGCTGCAAAAGGGACGTAGTACCTTTAATTGCTTTAAAAATGCTTACAACAACCAATTTTATTTTAATTTATTTTAAATTTGTTTTGGAGTGAGAAACTATGTACAAATTGCAAGAAATAATTAAGTCTCCACAATTCTGTTATTTTAGTTATTTTAATCATTTAGTGCTATAAAACTCTTTCAAACCTTGCCTAATTTTTATAAATAGCTGAATTTTCACTGCTGCCATGTATTTTCCTTTCACTTGCATATTTTACACCTCCGTTTTTTTAGATGCATCTCTTGCGCACCATCTGACCAAGGGTTTAATCCAGAGGAACCAAGCCATCAGGGGTATAACCATCCTGCGTAGCGCCATCTCACGGATCCAAATACATCCTGGTCAGCTGACGTCATTACATGCAGACCTGTGTCAGGTATGTCCAGAATGGCAATTTTCCTTGTCAGGCACGGTGCCTGTGTGTTTTAGATTAGCAAGTGTGCACTTGTAAAAATGACGCCTGGCTGGAATGCTCCCTTAGGAGTAGAAAATGTGCATACACTGTGTGCGGGTAAGCCTGAATCCAATGACCGGGGTAATAATATTTATATCTGTAATGCGCTTTGAGAGGGCCTGTGGTCCTGAAAAGCGCTATATAAGAACAAGCTATTATTATTATTATTATTATGTGTTCTGACGTAATGTAACTTGGCAAAATGTAGTGACACAAAAAAAGATGTGTCTAGATACAAATCTTCTGAGTCTTCTGAATTAAGGCTGCGACGGGTAGTCGAATGCTCGAGTACCCGCACGGTTGACAACTACTCGGGTACGATTTCTTGTACCCGAATATTCGGCCGCAAAAAAAAAAAAATTAAAAAAAAAAAAAAAAAAAAAAAAAAATGTCCAGGCCCACGCTTACCCGTGCCAGGGAGAGCAGCGTCCGCTGGCATGGTACCGTCGGTAAAAATGTTTCCCAACTCAAGCACTGTCAAACTCACCTTTCAGAAACTGGGACCAAATGTCCAGATTTCTGTTTGGACTTGGAGGAAAATGGATTATTCTGCCATCTTTGGTTTTTAAAACAGCATTGTTTACTGTTATTATTCTTATTAAATCGGCACCTTCAACTGCAACTCAAAGTAAAGTTGCATGCGTTTTCAGCGAGGGACCTGAGAAACTGCCGAGAGGTATGGTAGTGGCAAAAAAAGAAAAAAAAGAAAAAAATCCAAAAATTAAAAAATTAAAAAAAAATCAAAAAAATTCAAAAAAAATTCAAAAAAATTCAAAAAAATTCAAAAAAATTCAAAAAAATAATAAAAAAATATGGCGTCCGAATACTCGAGTATTCGCCTGTGAGCCTGGGAGTGTACTCGGGTACCTCATTACACTGTTGTGCACAGCCCTATTCTGAATTTGGAGTCAGCAGGGCGGTATTCCGCATGTCGCTAACAAAGGACGCAATTGTAGGTGAAGTTGGTGAATTTTAAAGTTGTTTTTTTACATACACTGTTTATCCGAATGAAATTTTAAGTTACATAAATAAAGTCTCATCAAATCAGTTTTTGTATTTATTAGCTCTCTGTTGCAACATTATCATTATAGCTCTGAGTGAACAAAGTTATTATTTTCAACTGTTATATTTTGCTTTGTGGACACTTATTCTAGGGCTCCGCTGTACGTTTTGCTAAGCTAAGCTAACATACAAACATCTGAGTAGACAGAGAGCCCCTGAAACTGTCGTCCCAAAAGACTGACATGTTGGTCTCGGGGGAAATATCAGTCTTGTGGACCCTCAGATGATTTATCAGAAGACCCACAAGACCAACATTGGGTCTTATGGGCTGTAAAGTAACAAAGTCTTTTACCCAAAGGGAACTGAAAGACTTTGGGCAACAGGGCTTTGATTCAATTATTGCATTCTTACCAAATTTTGTGCAGTGTGCTTTTTTAATTGATTTGATAAATATGATAATAATTTAAACAAAATGTTAAATGTGTATTGAATGTCACTTCGGGTGAACATACAAATTTAAAGAGCATTTTGCACTTCATCCTTTCCTAATCCATACACATATTTGTTTTTCTGGATTTTTGCAATCATATGATTGTGTTCCTTGTGTTACATGTACCTGCTTTTTTCTGCATTTTTCTGATTTGGTTTATCATTTAGTAGCTAGTGATTCGTGTAATATGACTATGTCTCTATCACTTATTTCCATCAGCTCTGCTTGAAATCCAAATGTATGAAACCGGCATTACCAGTTCTTGATTCAGACATTACAGAAATAAGCAAAGAGGTGAGTACACAGAGACACAGAGCTAATGCTCTCATTGCTCCCAGGATGATAATCTTGGTATGAATCATTTGATTTAGTTTACATTTTGAACCTCTCATTATTAGAAGTTTTCAGACAGTTGAATTTGAAATATTTAAGATCGCAGAAAGGTTGTGTCAATGCTTTATGGTGATTAAAAGGCAACCATGTTAATCAAAGTTTGATGTTGTTGTTACAAATGTTTTGTCACATGAGAGTTGCATTGGTCTACAACCAATACATACAACCAAGAGAGATAGAGAGAGAAAAATAGAGAAAGAAGGGGGGGGGGAGGGGGAATCAATGAAAAAGAGATATATTCTTGAAGAAAAAATACATTGTAGGTGAAAGGAGACTTAGGAGAGGTGTGTCTTGTACCACTTTCTTGATGTTGGTTAGAAAACTTTGAAACTTCAGGGAAAATACTTAATTCAAATTTGTGTCATGATATGTAAGTGTTGCAAAGTTGTTTTACGTCTTCCTGTGTACTAGGGCGGTCATTTTGACTCTACACATTTCTTGTGCTATTACTACTATGGAGGGATGATCTACACAGCCCTCAAGAAATGGGATAGAGCTGGATATTTCTTTGAAGTGGTAAGCAAGAATTTAGATAAAATTATTTTATATTATATTAATAAATAGATAATGAAATAAAAAAAACAATTTAGATTTAAATATTAAACAAAACGAATGCATCCAACGAAAGCAGACTGTTTAATGCCATGCCCAATGTAAAGTAAAATCTATCTTGGTGTTATTTAAAAGTGAATTTGATGTTAAAAATTAGGATTTGGTTTCTGTATTATTAATTGGTAATATGGTATTACTAGTTTATTAAATACTTACTGCATATCCTTTATTTTGGATTTGTTCTTACTGAAATTTACATGTATCCAGGGTCATTTATGATGAGGTGTTATATTGTTCAGTTGATATCTAAATATGGAAAGCAGTATCTTACACGATTGTGTAAAATGGATATGAAGTGAATGTCTTAGACCCTGCAGCTATAAATGTATCAAGGAGTTTATTAAATTCTCAGCTAGTCTAATATTGTGGGTTTTATTGTTTATCCATATATATTACAATTGATCGATCATGATTGAAGTTCTTCTTTCTTTTCCTGTCCCCCCCCCCGGCCCCCCTCTCTCTCTCTCTCTCTCTCTCTCTCTGTTTCTCTGTCTTTCTCTTTATTTCCTCCCCCCCCCCTCTCTCTCTTCTCTCCCTCTCCTTTCGTATTTATGTTTCTTTGTTTGTGTCTCTTTCTTTTTTACCCATCCCCATACATTGATATTTATGTTGTTTTTTTTCTCCAGGCAATCACAACACCATCCATGGCAGTGAGTCACATCATGTTAGAGGCGTACAAGAAGTTCATCCTAGTGTGTCTGATTCAACATGGCAAGGTCCCTAACCTACCCAAGTACACATCCCAAGTAGTCAGCAGATTTATCAAGGTTGGTATTTGGTTTAGGGGTTTTAGCTTGGTGAATTACATTTTAAAAAGGATCAGAATAATCCTGTAATCGTTTGCAATATTACCCCATTGCCCCCCCCCCCCTTCCTTTTTTCATGGGTGATTGTTGTATTCCTCATGCAATCATTATGTACAGACTTCTGTATGAGTATGTGGGTAAATACTTAAAAGTGGGGGAGAAAGGGCACAAAACGTGAAAAAATACATTCGCATGTACAATGTACATACACAACAAATGGCAAGCATAACATTAAAATAAACTATCAGTCTACAATAAATTTGAAGCAAACAATTTATCTTTTATTCTCAAAAAGTAACCTCTTTTACAGTTGTACAAACAATGCCGTAAGCCATTCAGTATTGTTACATGTACTTGTTAGCTACATACAATGACACACTGCTGGTACTACTAATTGTACAATATGTGCCAAACATTCCAGATGCTTTTTAATACCTTTTTTTTTTTTTTTTGTAAGATGATGAATTCAAAAGTCAATACGAGAAAACAGAGTGGAAATGGATGAGAAAGAAAATGGTAGCACCCCTCCATTTCTCCTAAGCACAATTATACCAAGAACAGTTTTGAAAAGCCAAAATAATTCTTTAGTTGGGAAATAGATATATTTCAAATCTTATGGTACATACTTTTGAAAAACTTTGAATTCTATAACATGAAGAATACTGTACATTGTAATTAAACAAATTCTGAACAAAGACAAAGGAATGGTATCAACAATGTATGTCTGGAAACTAATCACCAGCTTTGAATTTAAAGTATCATTAAAAGCTGCAGATATCATTTCATAACAAAAGGCAAACAAAATAGATAATAAAAAAAACTGTTGTACATTTGAATTCTAAAACATTGAACACAAAACTAAAAACAACATTTCAATGCAAAAACCTAAGGAAATAAACCTCTCTAATTGATTTTGTCTTGGTAAAAATTTGAAACCACGATTATCAGATACAGTTTGCAAATAACGAACATATACCATTCTCCAATGTAGTAATTCGTGATCTTGTCTACCAGTAAGCACTTTCAGATTACGCAGTTAGGTATGTACTAACTTTACAAATTAGATCAAACAAACAATGCAATCTATAAAGTACATCTGTATACAAAATAGAACACTCAAACAATTAGTGTAAAAAAAAGAGTGCTTTTGTCATTACTTAATAGAATAATCAAACATTGTAAAGAAGTAATTGTTGGTAATTGCTGACAATACTAAATAATACAAACAAACAAAACATTTTAATACATAAGTGCTGTTGGTAACTGCATGATTTTGACAAAACAGAACACAATACATTTGCACACAGTTTATATCGATAGGTAATCTGCCACCCCCTTTGTTGGTATTTATTGACATAATGCTGTACAAATTGGCATGATACAAAAATGTCTTTAAATATATTATTGCTGGTAATTGCTTATAGATACATCAGTCACGCTGTCAAACTGATACTCAACTGATTAAAAACTGACCATTTAGAAATATTTGTTTTAAAGGTAATACAAAGTTTTGGGAAATTTTGAAAATTGGGTGGATAGTGATTCTTTAAAATTTTGATATATTTGGATGCCTCTGTGGATGTATTATAAGCACTAGAAAATTTAGCCACTAAAACACTTCTGCTTTCGAGAAAAATCGAATATAAAAATTTATCAGTGCTCCCGATAAATTTGTATGAATTTCAAATAGCGCATACGGTCGTACAAAGGTAGCTGCGACTATGAAAATCTCAGAATATGTAGTTGTGATATATAATTTCCAAACGGGAATAGCAATCGGTCGATTTTAGTCAAGAAACATTGTTATATAGCTTTAATTGATATCTTGACCTTGAGAGGGAGCTATTCACCACTAAAACACTTCTGCTTTCAAGAAAAATCGAATATAACAATTTAGCAGTGCTCCCAATAAATTTTTATAAATTTCAAATACCGGTAGCGCCGACGGTAGTACAATGGTAGCTGCGACCATGAAAATCTCAGAATATGTAGTTGTGATATATAATTTCCGAACGGGAATAGCAATCGGTCGATTTTAGTCAAGAAACATTGTTACATAGCTTAATTGATATCTTGACCTTGAGAGGGAGCTATACACCATAAAGAGTTTATTATTTACAATTTCATAACTTTAGACTCGATTTCAACCGCGACAACGATTACTGAATATTGTAAGATTGCATGCTTCCAATATAATCATTTGAACCAAATTCATGACCCTATACAAAACTTTGTATTATCTTTAATCTTTGGTATATCAGTTGTCTTTAATATGTCAATCTTGTTAGGGTGATAGTGGTATTGTTAACAAAAGAAGAAAACATTGCATTTCATAAAATGTATTTTAACTGCTCACTTCCCAAAGCAAACACACTTCTTTTTCTTCATACCTGTACATACTGATTATACATAAATTTAGAAGACAACTGGTCTCTTACAAATATACACATCTAACGTTCATTACATGTCATGTAGTTTTTTTTTCAAAAGAAACTGTCAAGAACTTTTTCCTGAATGGTTGATTACAGAGTAAATAGTACCGGGTAAGTACATATTTAATGAAGTTTTCAAATAATAAAATTTGTAACAAAATGATCAAATGTTGCTGATAATCACACAAAGAAACGCTCCGAACACAGTTTTGGGTACCCGGAACTGCACAAACATGTGGCATCAGCGTTTGGTCCTACATTGCAAATTGTCAAGTATTTCTTCTTATACAATTGTATGTGATTCATGAAAGTATTTTTTCACAGGACTGGTTTTTCTTCTTCCTAATTGAGATTTAAAAGAAAGAGAAAGCTCACAATTATTTTTCTTCATCTATAACCAGATTGAACTCTTAATGATCCATTGACTACTGAATCTTCACATTCCTATAGGCTTAATACAGGAACCACCCGGTTCTCGTTGAATTTGTTGTTTATATTGATATTGAACGCTGTAGCATACATTGGTGTACATTTGGATTGGGTATATGTTCATAAAATTTACTTTGATCCTGACTTGATGTGGGATTACATTTACTTCTAAGGGAAATTCGTTTTTTTTTTTCTGATCTGAGCCTGAGCATTAATACAATTAAAATAATGACGAAACCAGCTATTAGGATAATAGAACCAAGGGCGTAAACCACATATTTCCATGGCACTGAATCATTGTGCGAATTGATCTTGATAGTTGTTGCTGTTATGGATACTGGTTTTGAGGGAGTGAAAAAAGTCTCACTGGTCTTTGTTTGATCCTGCGATAATGTCGTTCGACCACATGGATCTATGACTGAGCTCAGGTTTATATCATTGGTTAGGTCCAATTGACAATCATTACAATCACACAAATCTTTAGTGTGCTCCCAGGTAGAAGTACAACAAAACACTGGGTGCTTTTTCTTAACAAGTATGGTTTGCTTTAAATGTTTGTAGGTTTCAGTAGGGTCTGTAATTGGGGGCATTCTTTCTCCGTTCTGAAAGCAATCAATTTGGCCTGATAAACTCCCAACTGGAGCCATGCAATTCAGTGCTACCCAATTCTCGACCTTGTTCTCTTTACCCATTGTACAAGATGCCTTACCAGGCAGAAAATCAACATCCAATCCGATTCTTTTAAAATAGCCTTCATATATATCTTCCTCGCTATAGGCAAAGAATATGTATGTTCCTGCATCAATTCTCATTACAGGGTTGATTCTAACATGTAGTGAACAATGATCATATTCACTTTTATTCCTGAAAATGAATCTGTGTACTTGTACAGATGGTAAAATGATAGATTCTGTATCTGCTAATGTGTAAAAAGGCATTCTGTTTCCATACTGTAATGTAACTCCTGTACTGTTACATGGATATGGAAAATGAAGATGTACACTACCACCTTCTATAATAGTCTTCCATTCATCTTCCGATTTACACATGTCACACATTGCAAATGCAATGAATATAAAAAGGACTGGAAAACTCATTTTTACTGATTGCTTCTCAAGACCAAAATAACATCAAAGTTTGTACAGATTTTAGAAATTAAGACGAAGTTGATGATGACGAACTGTATCAAAGAAAGTTCATTCAATCTAAATTTCTAAAATGGCGTTCTCTATTTAGTGTCAAAGACTTCTAAGGCTGCCAGTTATTTAGAAAGATTCTGGAAGTCAGTCAGATCCAATTGAAAGCATTGTCGCTCTTCATTGACTTTCTCTGTTGAGGTCCAAGCAACTGTATGTTCAAAGTAGTAATACGCTTCTGCGTAGGGTGTCTTCAGTGCATGGTTCATGTACATGTACATTTATGAGCTGACTCTCGCTGTATGCCTTTCAACGTTTATCACGGTGACGTCCAGTTGACTTCCCAACTATGTTTCTAACTGTATTAAGCAGCATCCGCAGTGAGTTAGACGTAGATGGTTGAATGTGATGGGTTGCTCTGTTTCAAGTAAAATCCTTACTTTGATTCTCTCTGCTGTTCCAGTTTGATTTTTGAGCTGCAAGCCTGTAGGAATTTAATTATGAAGGATGTGTTTGATGTCTTAATACTGAACATTTTTAAAAGGAATCCCATCTTTTAATTTTTTTTTTAAATACACAATATCTTATACTTAATGCCAATGAAATATAATATATGAAAGAATAATTAATCTAATGATATCTTGATAAGGTTTGTGAACATTATTGCCTTCAAATTTTCAGCAGAATTCTCGCTGATTCAATCCCTTGCAAAAGTCAGGTTGAGGGATGTCTTTGTCACGTAATAGCTTGATTGCTTTTCACAACTGTATGTCAGTGTAAGGCAAATCTTATCATGGTTGAGCATACACCTTATTCCCTAACTGGACTTGGGGGGGGGGGGGGTAGAAGCCATCCATGAGAAAGTAAATGTTTGTGCCTTGAACTTGCATGATTTTATAGGGGAGAAAATGGCGCCTAAGTGACTGCACGGTTGAGTGATCACACTGAGAGGGGGAGGTTTTCTATTCTTGAGGGAAATTAGTGATGAAAAATTGATGGTGTTTGGATGGTGCGTTTTTGAGAAAATCTGACCCCAAAAAACTACAGAAAAATTCTGATGAAATCACAAAGTGATCTGCAGGATCTGCTGCAGACGATCTAAAAATATGGTAAGAATTTGAGCAGATGGTCGCCTACATGTAGGCTGTGTGACAAATTCCATCTCCTCAACATCATGCCTGGTGTGTACTTCATGGGAGTAAACCAAATATATCTAAATACAATTTCTGCATATTGTAGTCTGTATAAAATAAGAGTACACCATCTAAAAATAAGAGATTTCAAGGCTAATACTGGGCATTTAAAAAATTAAAACAATGCCCAAAACAATGGTGTATAATAATGCTTGAAACCAAAAACCAAATCAAAGTATCACAGAAAAACAAACATAATATGATTTGTTAATTCATATGATATCAATTTCATTGCCAGCTACATGTATAGTATCTTTTCATGAATTCTATAAAGTCAACTGGGTTTCATTTATTTTTTAAATACCTAGTATTAGACTTGAAATCTCTTATATTTAGATAATGTACCCTGATATTTTATACAGACTACAATATGAAGAAATTGTATATAGATTTAACACTTTTTATGCAATATTTTTGCACTATAATCATTCTGTGCAAAAGTTTAAAGAAATGAAAATGATATTTACATGTAGGTACATACATGTATGTCGAGCATTTTTAATCCAATCTGCATTCTTAACAGAAAATAATTGTGATAAAAATAGATATTGCAACAATTTACTTGTACACTTCTAATGTTCTAAAAAATTAATTCTCTCAGAAGAACTAACTAAGTAATACAAATCCCTGTGCAGACTAAAGATGATAAACTTAATGTAATTGTAACTCACAATCATGCAGACACCATGTTGATTGGAAACGTTGACAAAATGGCGGCATTTAAAGAATGCTGGGTAGAACCATCAATTGTAGAGGGTACACAAATAGTGGACGAGTATGCTGCATACACGGAGGATATCAATTTAATTCATTAATTAGTGTGCGAACTCCCCCTCTCCTGAATCGACTGTCCTTTTTATTATCAAGTACATCTTAAACCTGGACTTTCACCTGCAAACATGGATTTTGACCTTTATTTTACGCCCATGTACTTCAATGTACATGTGATCAAGGCTTGTGAATTTCCCTTTGGTAGGACAAAATACTTATAGCATCAGGTATCAATATGATTGAGCGGGTAAATGAATAGTACCGTCTTTGAGAGAGAATAATTATTAGACAACTTTGATAATATAGTATTGCAATGGCAGTTGATTGCAATTAATGGCAGTGACAACTGGTAAATCATTTACAAGTTTGTATTTTCCCTCTTTTTTGGGGGAGTGACTTCCTCATGTCGTTACTCAATTTTTTTATCCTTTGAATAAGTGTTTTTCTTATGGAAACAGAAAAAAAAACGGGGTAGTACATGGTATATTTTATAAAGAAAATACTGCTAATGAAAGTGCCTTCATCCAGGAATACAGTTTCTATGGGACAATTCATATCCAAAGGAACTGATTAATACTGTAGCAGGCTAATGATATTCCTCAGTTTCTAAGCTCATGACTCATTTTTATATTCATAGCAATTTTCATAACGTTAACATTAAACAGGGGATAGTTTTCTTATTGCTTGTCTGATTTTTTTCTAGAAAACATGTGTTTCAATCCATTTCACAATTTGTTTCTGTTTTTATTAAAAAACAAGTATGTATGAGGTAAGAGTTAAATAAAGTGCACTGTACATGAACAGTACATGTACAGTATGTGATCATGTACATGCATCCATGTAGGCATTCACCACACTTTTCTACTATAAATTCACTTTTCAAGAAGTGGTTTGAGGTTGGCTGTACTAGCTGTAATTCTGCCGAGCCTTGGTTTCTTTATATGAATGATTTCCATATATATGTAACAGTTACAGCCCTTTCACAATCATAATATTTCTATTAAAACCATAAGACAAATTAGGATAAGCTTCTCAAACACAACAGTCTGCAGTTCAAGTTTGAGCGTTGATTACTCTTGTTACTGTATTATCATGCTTGAATTCTGTATCAATCTAAAGCTGTTTTTCCCCTTTACAATGATGCCCCACTTAACCCTTACTGTACTGGGCTATTTTGAGCACCCTCTGACTGGGGGGGGGGGGGGGGGGCCTGGGAGGCCCCCCCCCCCCTGTGATCTCGGCGGTCGTATGTCCAATGAACCCGAAAATTTGCATATTTGTAGGTATTTACGTAAGGAACAAGATGGTATAATTAGTTTTTTCCTAATATGCCAATTTTTGTCGTTATAGCCTAATTAATTATGCAAAATGCTAATTTTATGCACTTTACAGAAAACTCTACATATTTGTCCGTAGACTTGTGAAGAATCTTGAAAATGTATTGAATAAATGTTTCCTTCATCTCAAATTCATGAGGTTTCATTATTTTTATGATATTTGAAAATACATAGGTTAATTTGCATAAATTATGAATACGCAAATTACGCATTCATGAATATCAAATCTGGAACTATATTTAGGGAACTAGAATCATTACAAAAATTGTCAGACTCCACTTTTTGAATGTTGAAACTCATTATTCATATGAAACTTCTTTTCTAACACAAAATAGTTATTTGATGTAATTAATAATGATAATTTATGCAAATTTGATGCGATTTTCAACCATTTATTTTCTTTTGTATTTTATTGTTTTTTATTTCTTATTATAACTATTGTTTTATTTATAATGTATTCTTTTGTTCTGGAATACATCAAGTTACTCTGAGAAACATATAAAATCAATTTGATATCAATTCATATCTTCACATTTCTGCTTGTACATGAATGCAATTATAGCATTTTTTTGATGACATGCGCATACTAATTGTTATGTAACACCTTACAGGTATATCCGATTTTGACGAAAATGGTATCAAAATGTGCGCAAGACTTGAGGGAAAAAAGTCATGAAGCGACAATTTAAAATTCCAAGCGGTTGTGGCGCAATCTCCGAAAATGTCGAGGGGGGGGGGGGCCTCCCAGGCCCCCCCCCCCCCAGTACAGTAAGGTTTAAAGGTATTACAAAGTTTTGGTATGGGGTCATGAATTTGGTTCAAATTAACATATTGGAAGCATATGCTTTCCTACAATATACATTGATCGTTGTCGCGGTTGAAATCGAGTCTAAAGTTATTAAATTATAAATAATAAACTCTTTATGTTGTATAGCTCCCTCTCAAGGTCAAAATATTAATTTAGCTATGAAACAATGTTTCTTGACTGAAATCGACCGATTAGCTATTCCCGTTTGGAAATTATATATCCCAACTACATATTCTGAGATTTTCATGGTCGCAGCTACGATTGTACGGCCATAGGCGCTATTTGAAATTTATCAAAATTTACCGGGAGCACCGGTAAATTTTTATATTCAATTTTTCTTGAAAACAGAAGTGTTTTAGGGGCTATTTTTGTTAGTGCTTATAATACATCCACAGGGGCATCCAAATATATCAAAATTGTAAAGATTCACTATCCACCCAATTTTCAAAATTTCCCAAAACTTTGTATTACCTTTAAAACTTTGGAATGTGCAATACACCTCAATATAGGTCAAATCAAAAAGTGAAATGTTGCAAATCGCATTGTTTTGATAAAAAAATATTGAAATTCAGTGTCGGAAGCGGAGTTCAATATACTAGCCTGCTATGTACAATCATTATATAATTCCTTTTTTTTTAAACGGCAGAGTACATGATTAAAGATAAGGTTGAGCATTGATAAGGGAGAAAATTAATCATACATCTTGATTACAAAGCATTTGACACAAAATACCATCTTTGAAGATATTATTAATGCAAATATAATTTTTTTGATTAGTTTAATGTATGTTTTTATCTTTGTTATACTGAATAAGATTGTGTTCTGGTTGGAGATGAAATGTTATCATTAGTGTCTTTGGTGTACCAGTTGAGGCAAGCTAATTTGGGGATCAAATGGGAAAGGTCAGTAATCAGTTGAACTGCATTGTGAAAAATGATTACAAATTAGACACTGTATTTTTTTGTCCGTCATGTACCTTTTGCCCTTTTTTTCAGCCACTGAGTCAGCTGTACCAGGAGATTGCCAACTCTTACTCTACAAACAACCCATCCGATGTGAGCAGTGTCCTAGAAAAACATTCTGATCAGCTCAATAGAGTAAGTAACATTCCTCTCAAGCCTCGTTTAGATATGACATGGCAACAGAAAAGAGACCCTTAAAAAAGTTGCTTCAAAATGTATCATGGTTTTACATAGTAGTCCTAAGTAAGCAAATATTAATCGACTACGAGGGTAATGGTATAGTATTAATGACTGCTTTGAGAGAAATAGTTGTTTTTATACGCTCAGGGAAGGTTAGAATTGTGCTATTGCCCGAGGCGTGCCGAGGGCAATAGCACAATTCTAACCTTCTCGAGAGCGTATAAAAACAACTATTTCTCGAATATTAAAGCAGTCATTAATACTTTTATATGCGGAAAAAAAAAGTCAACTTATGACACCACCTTGGCCTTAATCCAGTTTATCTGCACGGTTCTTTTTTATGAGTGTATCTTTGAGAGTAGACTGAAAATTAAAATATAAAAAATAAACAAATTTTTGTCGAAGATGGGATTCGATCCCTTGCGTACCAACGATGATGTGACTCAAATCACCGCCTTAGACCGCTCGGCCATCGCGCACTCATACCATACCCAGCAGTTTTCTCTGACGTATACATTAAAATGAATTGAAAACGGCTACGCGTGCTGGAGGCTTCGCGGCAGCTCCCTTAAATGGGCCCTTCTTTTACTTTTGCAATGCATTGGCACGAACTTACATCAAGATCTATCGGCAGATGTTGTTTTTGGAAGTTTATTTACGTCTTCATGTCAACAATGCAAGATAAAATTGTCGGTAAGATCGATCGAGATTCAATTGTATTACAATCACCGACCAATTCATCGCACACGTAAGGTATCCGCAATCGCTCAAACCATTTTTTAACATGTAAACCTATGGGTATTTCACAAAGACTGAACTATTTTCCCGGTAACCATGGTTACTGCAATTTTAGAACTATTTTTTAGAACTATTACATGGGTTTGGAATTTTACAGGGAATTTTACAGGAATAGTTAAAGTTTATGAATGCAATTTCGACCAATCAGATGGCTGGATTTCTTAAGTGAGGTATATACATGTAATACAAGCAATACAAACTATCATCGCCTCGGTGATCTCGGGGCCTCCATCATCCCTCGCCTTGCGGCTCGGGATGATAGTAGCCCCGAGATCACCTCGGCGATGATAGTTTGTATCCATGGCCCGAGTAAAAGAGGTTAATATTTGTTTTATATCCCACATCGGCAATAAGGTCTATAAGTGAATTTTACATAATAATAAGAACTGATTCTGCAGACAGTTTAGCTTCAGCTAGATTTTATACAAAGCGCGACATGCATACATGTAATACAGTCGATGCGCGCTCATTTGACATTGACATTGACATTTCGCGTAACCTACTTTGCTATGCTTATGCAATGGGCAAGGGGTGGGCAAGTGGGGCAGCAGCAAAAAATTACTTTACAAAAGTCCTATCGCAGGTAGATAGTACTTACCGGTATCTATCATTTATCATGTATCCTCGTTTAGACCAATCAGATCGCAAGATTCTTAGTATGCGGGATATAAAAGTTCACATCATATGGCTTATGATAAAATATTTCGTATCTTTTGGCAAGCAAGGCTGATGACAAATATTGTTAGCCTATGCATGAGGAGACAAGTCAACATCATGATGTCCTTGTTATCATCTTTATAGCTCAAAAAATATCTGAAGGGCCTTCTAGATGATAATGGAGTCTCAAAACAGTAAATGATACATTAGCCTTTTTCAATTGTTCACTTCATAAATCTTTGATATTTTCATGCCTCCGCTACAGAGTAGCCAGAGGCATTGTGTTTTCGGGTTGTCCGTCCGTCCGTACGTCCATACGTCTGTACGTCCCGTTCTCGTGATCACGTTTTCTCAAGAACCGATTGATGGATGATTGCCAAACTTGGGTCATGTAATATGTATCTTGCAGAGCCAATGAATTGATTAGATTTTAGGCTCATGAGGTCAAAGGTAAAAAATTGCGGGGCTCATTATGTATTAGAAATAGCTTGTGATCGCATTATCATGAGAACCGATAGACAGATTACCATCAAACTCAAGACATGTATATTTATCTTGTAGAGCCAATGAACTGATTAGTTTTTAGGGGTCATGAGGTCAATGGTCATGGGGCTCATTATGTATGCCTATAAATAGCTTGTGTACGCATTATTATTAGAACCGACAGATGGATTACAATCAAACTTGAATTTTAAAAATTGCTTCCATTTTGGTTTGTAAAATTGCTCTATGGCGGAGGCATCATTTTCAACTGCGTGCAGTCAAATTTCTATCTAGTTTCAGTATAAATTGATTTTTGTCAATTGCAAGTAGAAGAATGAATAACATGAAAGGAAAAGTACTGACTGATATGCATAATATCATATGCTTGGAGCCATAAAGGTGTTAAATCATACGCTTTTACATAGAGATAAAGCCCTTTACGGCTCCTTACTAATGATATTGTTTCATCGTGATGTGCCCTGCAGAAGGGCATGACTATATATATGAATATGTGCATTCCAGGAATATCCTTTTTGAAGTTTTCATTTTTTTATTTAAATCGCAAATACACATTTTATTTCAGTCTGTACATGTACATCATCCACCAATTAATCAAGGTTAAAAAAATCAAAAATCACAAAATGTGTTAATCACTGACAATTTCTTATTAGTATAGTAATACAATGTCAATCTCCTTCTCTTCTTGCTCAAAGGACCAGAACATGGGCCTTGGTAAGCAGGTGGTGTCGTCACTTTATCGGAAGAATATCCAGCGACTTACAAAAGTAAGGAATTACTTTGATTGTATGATGTTGTTTTTTCAGTTGTAGATTTGAATTGATTAGTTGAATTTCTGAAAATATTGTTAGTTTGTTTTTTTTGTTTTTTTTTATCTACAAGCATCTTATAAGAGAAATTGGATATACAAGACAGCTTTTAAATAGCCTATGTGCGTTGAGGGGGCCTCATGTGGCCACTGATCGTTTGTCAAATGTTGAGCAGGGGAAAATGAAATAGAAAAGGAATTAAAGAGAAAAACAATAACAATCAAGGAAAATGGGGAAGGCAACGTGAAGAGAAGATGATACAAGCCTTCCCTCTTCCTCCTGCCTCCCCCCCCCCCACCCTCCACACACACTCTTTTCCCTCACTTTATGGCTTTGTTCATCCATGTGGTAACCCAGTTCTCTTTAATTTTGAGATTACTCTTCATTAGACACCCGCAACAATGACCAATGAAAGAAAAGATTCATAACTTTAGCAATTTTCTTATAAAATCTAACACATGTACATGTATACATGATAGATGTTTGTGAACTTTGTAGGTTTAAAGCGCAAAATGCAGTCGAGTTGAATTGCCACACAAGAGGGCGACATACTAGTGCAGTAGATTTGAAGATTGAGTTGTACAGTAGGGGATGTTCATCGTCAGTATTGATCTTTCTCTTCAGACCTTCCTCACGTTATCTCTGAGTGATATTGCAAGAAGAGTTCATCTACATGCACCGCAAGAGGCTGAGCAGTATGTCAGAAATATGGTAAAGAGCTAAGTTTCTTATTTGGGGAAAATTGAATAGCCCGTACAGAGTGATCAAATGAAAATGGGGCCTACAAGGGTACATTTGCCCCTCTAAAAGAATTTGATCAGTAAACCACTCAGAAAAAAAAAAATTGAATTTTGCAGGAGGTATTATACCTCCCTGATGGTCACTGACAGGTGGTTATCTCATCAAATCAGCTCTCAATTAACATAAGAAAAAGGGGATCATGGGGGACCAACGGGGGTCACCGATTAGGCTGTTTGCTACATAGAGGGCGCAAGTAGCTATAAGTAGTGCAGTGGGCCTTTAAGGAAAATAGATTTGAAACAATCAGAGCTAGATAAACTGATAATTGGGATGGAACTGGATGTTAGATTGAAGTGTTAGGCGAGGCGTCAAAAATATCGATACCAGCAGGCTGCCGCCTCACGTATTGGCGCATCGAGGCTGCAATTACGGCCGAAGCCTGGCTGGGGCAATTATTTTTCTTTTATTAGCCCAGCCGGCTTGCGCCAGGCTGGGTTCTGAGGCTCGGTTTCCATTCGAAAGGCGGCAGCCGGCGCATGCTTTTGAATGCCATTTCCTACCGCCAGCGGTAGCCGGCTGAGCTAATTTAAAAAATGCAGCCAGGACGCACAAGTGCAGTTAGCTGCCGCTGGCTGGTATATTTATTTTTGACGCCTCGCCTTAATTTACAGTGGTAGTGTAATTTGGGGGTTGAAATTAATGGTGCTACAAGGAGATGTGTATGTACTTTGAATTGAAATATACACATTTTGTTTGATATATTTCAGATTGAAGATGGGGAGATCCATGCAACTATCAGCAAACAGAATGGAATGGTCCATTTCCATGACAACCCAGAAAAATATGACAACCCTGCAGTCCTCAGACACGTCGAACAGCAGGTTAGTCAAATTTCCTCCACCTGTTTTGAAAGCAACATTTATAGCCATAGGCTTATATTGGAGTTTTTTCTTTATAAAGTCCTCAAAGTAAGTTCTGCTTACAAGTTTGAGCATTACTGTTATTATGCTTGACGTTGGTATCATTGAAAAGCCTGTTTATTCCCCTTTTTTGCATGAACTCCTCAAAATAAATGAAATGTTGCAAAATGCATTATTTCTGCCAACCGTGACCAACTCAACATCATTCAAAACACAATCCATCCTCCAATCAAATGAATAATTTCACTGTTGACAACAACAATGTATTTTGAAACAGTTCACATTTGACTTCGCCCCATAATCAGGTGTATCACACATTCCATGATTACATAATCATTACAAATAGGGCACCGTTTTAAAGGGGAATAAACAGGCTTTTCAAATATACCAACATCAAATATGATAATATATTGACGAGAGATATCAACGCTCAAACTCATATGATTTTCCTTTTTTCATCTGTAGTTGCCACTACTTGCCTTTAAATACTTTTTTTTTGGGGGGGGGGGTGCTGAGACCTTAGCAGTGGGGCAGTTCGTGTTTGAGTGTTTTTCCATGTCCATGAAAATACGTTTTATATTTTGTCATTTGTTGATTTTGAATTACCATTTTTTCCTCACAGATGCAGCATTGTATCAGTCTGGATGAGAAGCTAAAGAGCATGGATCAAGAGATAGCTGTTAATCCACAATATGTTCAAAAGGTGAGATAGGAAATAACTATTTCTTTTAATGGGAAGTCCAAGAAATTTGGCATCTTGTATTGCATAAGTTATCAAGTAGTCTGGATATACATGCATGATTCACTTCAAAAGTATCATTATCCTAGAGGTTATTCTTCTGATCCAAGCAATAGTATACAATGTAGGTCTGCCAATGATGCACAAATGAGAGATACTGAAACATGTGCTGTGATCATAACGTAAAAAACAAAATATATTGGACTTGCCCCCATACACGTATGAGTGTTCATTATTCCACTCTCAGTTCCACTACAAACAGAACAAATGAATCGTATACTTGCAGGGAAATACAACAAGATCTTTTGAAAATGAATGAAGGATGAACTACAGGAAAGATGGTATTTCCACTGGCCATAGGCATAACACTCGCGATCCCATTCAGAATATCCTGATAGACCAAAAGGCCATGAGACTGACAGCTCGCAAGCTGTTGGTCTGGTGGACGGTCGGTCTCATAGACTGTCAGTCTTATGAATCCTTTGATAGCTCTCAGAAAACAGATGAGCTGGTCAGAGGGCGGTATGATAAAGCCGATCCTTGGAAGGGTACAAGTAGTCATTTTATTCTTTTACTCCACTTCTATATCTAGTAATTGTTCATGTACAGGCATTTCCACAAATCAGGGAATGCATCAATTCATTCATAGGCACTAAATTCTAAAGGTTGACCATGAAGCTTAAGCTCAAAACTGATGAGAGTGTCAATATTTTGTATTTTATGATATCACCTGCTATTTACTCCTCAAACCTTTTTTTCTTCATTCTTGTCTTTTACTCCACTTGTATATCTTGTAAATTTTCACGTACATGCATTTCCTCAAATCAGACAAACCACTGAATCTTTCATAAACAAGTTACATTTTAGAGGTTGACCATAAGGCTTAGACTCCAAACTGATGAGAGTGTGACTAGTCTTCATTCCTCAAAATGTCCATGCTTTAATTATCTCATTCATTTAAATTTTTATTTAATGTCTGATGTCTTTGTTTCTTCCGCCCTCTACAGAGCATGGGAGTACGAGAAGACGACGAAGTGGGCGGAGTCTTCGGAGGGAAATAGGACACACTGTATAGCTGAATGTACATAATCATGGTGGATTTATGAACTGCAGGAAACAGGAAAACAAAAGAATGACAACATCTATTTATATATTCCAATCCCCTTTTTCAAAATTGAACCCTGCATGGTACTGTTTTTTTTTTCGTTTTTCCAAAAGTACCAAGTCATTTAACATTTACTGTACAGAGAAGACAAAGTTGCATTCATGAATTTCATATAAAGTGTGGAGAGAAAAAAGGAAAAGATACTCATGTACATTTAGTTACTAACTGCATTACACAGAGCTTTTTTAGGGTCTTAGAGACTTGCCAATGGTTTGGCATGTTTGTTTGAGTATCGTGACAAAATTTGGGCTTCAATATCATATGAAGATGTATTTCTCCAAGGTGTGTAACAGAAATAGGTATTATAATGTGTAACCTGAATCCTTTGCAATCCTGTTGACTGTTATTCTTTAATTCTTCCCCCAAATCCTTCTTTCTATTTATTCTCTCTCATCTCCATACATTTTGAAAGCAGTGGTAATATACAGATCTGTATATGTAGATGGTCTTCATTTCACTATAAATCTTCTTTTTTGTTTGTTTAATTGATAACGGCATATAAACTTGTTTTTAGGACAGAAATTATGTACATGTATGTGCAAATTAAAAAAGTTTATGTTAATTGCTTGTCCAACCTGTATGTTACTGCAGTTTTTTTTAAAGATTAATATCTTCCAATTGATCGTCACAAATTATATCTCATTTTGATTTCAGAAAATCAAAATTCAGATAGTGTATCTGAATTAATATTTTTTTCTTTTTTTAAAAATATTTGCCACATATTGTTTTGAATATAAAAAGGAACATTCAAGCCTAGGCCACTACCTGTATACACAGGACAGTGCAAGGCCGAAAGTGATTGAGATGAAATCCATAAGTCAGAAAGCATGAGCTAATTCGTTAGTGCAGTCGCTGAGAATCAAATTGTGCACATCCTATCGTCACTTTTAATGTTCATGATTTGCCATTCAATTCCAGAACTTATTGGAACGCATATGTACATGTATCTTTAAAGCTCTGTGCATTGTGAATGATAAGGTTAATGATATTGTATATTTGGAGGGCATTAACTTATATATTTTTAAGTGACTTAACACTCTTCTGGATCTCAACAGGCAATGTGCAGGACGTATATATTTCCAGCAATTTATTTTGAGTTGCAGTTCCAGAGTCAAGTTTCATGAATTTGGTACTGATAACTATCAAAAATAGTTGGTAAGCTATTGAAATCAATGCATTTGATGTATTTGTTGGAAAGTTCTGAAACGTGAGGGGAAAGAAGAGACTTTTCTGATTCAATTCAAGAAGCAAAGTGGGAAATGACAATAAAGAGGTGGGAAAATATCGTTAAAAGTTGAAAAATCCAGGTCCTTTCAAGAGAGGGAGAAACTTATTATATATGATACTTATTACAGTCTATAATCTATAGATGCCTGTTTGTAGGGAAATGTGAACGTTATCTTCCTGTAGCCTCTTGTCTTATGTCCTTTGGTATGTTAACCTTCAGTTTACAAGTATTTGAATGAGTCGCATCTTGTTTCCTGATTATCAAAGCTACTTTATTCAACTGCAATTATAATGTACAGATGATGAATATGAAGAAGGGACAGAATTCAAGGATAATAAATGTATGTCACTTTTGTGTGGACACATTTGTGTAAAAAAACTGGGTTATTGTTTTATTTGATATTCGATATAGGCCTACATGAATTAGAAGATTGTGTAATTTAAAATCTTTCATTATTCTGTTGAAGTGAATCATGATATGTTTTTATTGAGAGAGAGAATTAATGAGAAAGAGAGACTAAGGAAAAGAGTAGAGTGACCAAGAAATAGATAGAGGTAAGGAGAAAGTGTGTGGGGATAATATATGGTTTATGTGTCTGTTGTTGTCATGCATGCCACTGAGCTTAGCTAGGAGTATTCCTTTTTAGAATCCCACCTTTATTATTGCCATAATTATTAAAGAAAGAAGGCGCAGGCCAGGACCATTAAAACAAATAAATAACAAGTTAAGTCTTAACGATTTAGTGGAAGAAGAGGGAGGGTGCAAACTGAAACATTTGTAATAATAGCTCTCTTCAAACAATGAATTGACTTTTTTTTGCAGTGGGCACAATTATTGGGACATTTTTGTACTTAAGTCATACAAGATTGGGTTAGTTTTCGGGGAGGGGCACATACCTTGCCATATTGGAGAATAATGTCGTTTAATAGATATATTTTAGTACCCAGTCAAAAGCATTTATATTTTTGTTGGCAGTGAGTCACATCATGTAAGAGGCGTACAAAAACTTCATCCTAGTCTGTCTTATTTATCATGGCAAGTTTCCTAACCTTCACAAGTACACATCTCAAGTAGTCAACACTAGATTATATAGTCAAGGTTCGTATCTGGTTGAGGGGTTTAGACTTAGCTTTAGTTTAATTACACTTTAATGGGATCAGGATCAGGGGCGTCGCTAAAGGGGGGTGTGGGCAGTGGCCGATCCAGGGGGACCCCCTCTTACCTATTTTTTTTTAGATGCCCCCAAGATGCAATTTTTCTAATTTTCGAGGGCCAAAAAAAAAAAAATTGTGCTCAACAATATTTTTAAATTTTTTATTTCACATGTCTTTCAAGCATACCTTTAACTACAATTATGTGTAGTTTCATTGTTATGGGCATGTGGGGAATATATGTTAAATTATTAATTAGAATATTGTCTTTTCAGCCATGTGTGACATGGCCCGCTGATCGCCCATTGACTGTTATTCTGCGTGGTGAAAATGCACTTCAATGTATAAAACTCCCCTACAAAAATGCAATATCCTTATATGTTTCACTCATTGAATCGATTTGGTATTTACACGCAAGGTAGCCACAACTGTACTGGGATCACCAAACTTTCTTTATTTCTAAAATTCAGTCCCTGTGGAATGTTATGGCCTGTTGAATTGAATGGTTTCTCGGAAAATCGTCATAAATCCTCAAATCTGACACTTTTTTAAAAGAAACTACACTGTGATGTAGCTGAAAGTCTGCAGATTCTTATAATTTGTTCGGTTTTTCTGAATAATTTGTGAAACATATGAGAAAATAGCTGTGACGGTGATCCAAGTAATTTCCATCGCCATATTTTATAGGCACTGCAAAAATATTTGGAATTTAATGTTAATATCTGGTGTAAATATACGGAAGCCCATTAGTGCCACCTACGAAATAAATTTAAGAGAAATTATCTGGCGGCCGCCAGATAATTATCCGTGTCTTCCATAGAGATATATACTTAATAAGGCTAGAGTGCGGACTCGTCATACGCGCCCGTTCAAAGCTCTGTGCGCGCATGGAGCGCGGTCCGCCATTACTAAGGAGGGCACAACTTCGAGAAATACCCGGATGTTCCCTTCGAAACTGTGCTACTGATATGCAATGTGAAGCTTCATTTTTCGGGTTGATTTATCGGTTTTCGAGTATGAAACGTTATAATTGTGGTATTTTGCATAATGCATGAACCCTACTCATGCCTCAGTCATGGTATCTGGTGTAGGTCAAGATTAATTACGGATGTTATGGTGAGGTAAAAGGGACACAAAAAGCTATTTATATTTCAGTATATCTTCAATTTTTCTTCCTCTTTGTCAATATAAAACTGCGATATTATGACATTAAATATTACTTGGCTTTCAACCAATCAGAATCAAGCATTTGGGACTTGTATTTGATATTTATGTCATGATATTAAACAAAGTTTTATGCTACAGGGCCAATGCCGGGGGCCAATGTCTTTCTAATTCAGTTATTATGAGAGCCAGGGTTTATTGATTTAAAATGCTTTAAAGGTAATTCATTTTATGTTTATGACTATTATAAACAGATTGATACTTATAGATTTGGGATAGAGATGGGTATGTAGATAGCTAGACACATAAATAGATGGATAGATAGATATAATATAGAAGGATAGGTAGATAATGGAAATGCAGATAAAGGACGATATTGAAGATAGGAAGGGAAGGAAAGAATTATAGGCCTACACATTTATTTTAAAAAATTATGTTATTTACTCATCCAATCATTCATCCATCCATCCAAACATTCTTTTTCTTCTTCTCTCACTCATTTTATATCAAATTCACACCTAATGTCTTTCACCCATTCTCTATAAAATCTCTATTTTTGTCTGAAAGAGTAATTCAATTTTTTACAGTTCACTATAAATATATATGAATATTCTTTAAAAACAGCTGATCATTGATGTAATAATTATTTATTCACACCACTTTTTTTCTCTATAAATAATATTCTCCTTGATACAGTGTATTTCTTATTTTCTTCATCAACCAGTTTTAGAGAATAAACTTATAATTAAATTTGAAGAAAAAAATGAATAAATGAACCTTTTATTACCACACGGCACACGTGTGTTGATATTCTACAGCATAGGCATTTAAGTTTTGACATTTTATCGGACATATATACTGCAATAATACATCACAATTGAAAAGACAAACATTGCAAAAACAACACCTCAGATTTTAGCCCCAAATTTACTGTCACGGATCATAGGCAACACAACCACAACAAATTGATTCGCCACCAAAGACAAGCATTACACATCCCAAAACCACCACAATAACTCCCAAAACATAAATGTCAGGAGGCCAATGTCTATGTGTCAAGATGTCAGCGATAACGAACACTTTATTAACTAGTCTTGGCTCCAAGCGCACGCAGGCGCGTCACATTTACAAATAATACATCGAGTAATAAATGCAAACCAGAAATAGTAATTGAGCATATATATTCCAAGTCACCTGTATTACTATGAAGAACTATAATTGAAGAGACTTACATCTCAGGATACTGCACTACACTATTCAGTGAAACCTCATAGTAACATGGTCTTTTGACATCATTATTCATCAGGTGTAATAATAAATTTGAAACTGATTACCCTCAAATGTACACAGTAGATACAACAAGCCAAAGAGTGCACAATCTTATGGGTTTACATCTAGTGACATTATTTATTCCATATAATTTTTCTGTTATCAAATCTCTTCAAAAGCAGTTTTCCATTTTGGAACAAAATTCAAACCTATGTACAAAACGATCTATGGGTGTGTATATGGTGTGCATTACACAGGCTTTTCAATTGCCACACATCTGTGAATTCTTCTCGTTTATTAAAAATGGGCTCACTTGATGTGAATTTCTTGCTTTTCATCTTTAATGATGTAAATCACTTGGTTGAGAGCAATCCAGACAATTTAATAAAAAAGGTCTACATGTTTATCTCAGGTTATCCATACTGTACCTGCATAATCAAAGCAAATGTAGAGTGCAAATAATTTGCAAAAATTTGTCGCTGTTTTCACGAAGTGACGGTAGTGAAAAAAAATGCATTCACTTTGCGTTACGATTTTCCTCACTACCGTCACTTCCTGAAAATAGGGACGAATTATAGCAACTGAATCAGATACAGCAGGTACAATCATGAAGCTTATAGAGTAAATATTCAAATACAGTGTACCTCACAACAACTCAAAATTCAAGTACATTTTGTTTAACCCCTAATGTAATCAATTCTTCTAAGTTCCACTTTAGTTTGCCTTCGTGTAAAGTTAACAAACAGAAAATTATGGTTAGGTTGTGCAACTGTCACAATGTGTCCCCAAAATTTTATTTCATTACACAGAACAAAAGTCTCAAATTGTTCTGTTTTTTTAAAAGATTATTGAAAGCTCTCTCCAGTTTTAAACGGCTTCACAGTCAATCATCCAGTGGATAAGCTATGCAGACAAGAGGCAAAATATAAAAGACCGATCTGTCTTTGTAGTTTGTACGAATGAAGTTCTATGTTTTGTTTTGTTTTTCCTGAAAATGCGTTCTCTCCAAAGTTGTGTTGAAGTAGGTCAAGCTGATCCTGGCTAATGAGCTTGCTTTCGTGGACTTCCTGCAAGAGAGTCTTGGTTTTTCCATCTCTCCTGTTTACCTTGTTTCACCACTTTAAGCTGTTTCTTGGCATCTTGCACTTGCTGTCTGGTTATATTCAGTTTCTAATCAACTCAGACAGAAAAAGAATAGTCGTGTTCTTTTGTAATGTCATAGGGTTTCTTTGGAGGCACGGGAACACTTTTGGATGTTGTACATGGTTTTGCTGGGAGTCTTGAGCCATGGGTCTGTTTATAGGGAGGATGTCCAGGAAAGACAGTAGGCACAGCTCTAAGAATGAGATGTGGTGTGTAACATCCTTTCCTCTCTTGGGTGTATTCCTGCATTACAATAAAAGCAAATGGAAACAATAATGAGTTTTTTCTCATAACATGACAATTGTTCTACTATTCATGCTATTTCATGTGATTTTTAAGACTGAAACTGAAAGAAGCTTCCAGCCAAATAAATAAAATAATAATGATGTCAGCAAGTCATAAGCAAATTTGATAGAAATAGTGTAGTGTGCGGTGGGATTTTTAGGCTAGCCTAGCCTAGTTGGATAACTCCTGTGATGTGAAATTTGGCAGGCTAGCCTGGCTTAGACCAAAAGCTTCAGTCTCTCTATATCGTCGTCGGTTGTTCTACTAAGACTGCGTCTAGCTCCACTAGACCTCTGATTATATTATGGGGAATGTCAACAAATGTCAGTTTTATTAAAGAAATGACCCATATCAGATGGTTATATCTGTCTATTAAACCTGGCTTTGCCTTTCGGGCTTTAGAAATTAGAGAGTAGAGTTTAGATCTAGAGTCTAGATCTAACTAATTAGATCTAGAGTCTAGTCTATAGTTAAAATATAGATCTAAAGAAGTTGACATTTGATTTTTATCTTGAAATTAGATAAGATAAAATTAATTGTATCGTTTTATTCTAGACTTTTCTTTAATAGAATCAAGCTCATGGAGTTATATTTCCGAGTTGGACTCTCTGGCTCTTGGAGTTGCGAGCGACTCCAGCGCAGCAGAATTTTCCCATCACCATCCCCAGAACCTTAACCCATGCCTGCCCCAGCCCGGCGGGCGTGGACTGGCGCGCTCCGCTGCTGCAGGAGCTGCGGTGGCTTGTCATGAGACAACCCGGGTACAGACTACAGTCACTGCATAAACTACATTTTTAGCTCTAAAATCTCCTTATTAATCAACATAACATTAAGAAGAACTTACTTGTGAAATATTATGCAGTTCCCTTTCTTTCTTCGGTTCGAACATCCAAATGCAACGCACGGACCTGGCTTCTCCAATTTTTTCCACGTATGTTGTGCACAGTATCTTGTTGGGTCGTTCGTTTTTCTGCCCTCCTTAGTAATGGCGGCCACAGCTCCAGGTCCACACAGCAATTTGAGCGAGTACGCCCTCTAGTGTTATTAAGTATTGTTGTTGTTGTTCGTTTGGTATTATAATGGCTATTAGTCAAATTTGACTATTGTTGCCAATTTCATCGCATCTCTTTCTTTTAATGTCTTGGTAAAATTATTATTTCTTTCTTTCTTTTTCCAATCTCATTTTAATATAATATTAGTCATAGTCTACAACAAAATAAAAACAAAAAATTATTTCAAATTAAACCACGATCCGCACACAGTTCCAACTCACGCTGGCCCTGTCCTTTCTATGATGCCTTCTTACCAGCCCAGCGAGTTATGTTACGCCGTACGCTTCTCGGTTGATAAACTCAACCTAGGTCACTCTGGCATAGACAAGGGGGCGTCGTGTACCTGTATGTTTAGAGGGTTTATTTATTTATTAGGAGAAAGACAACTGCATAAGCAAAACACTTGTGGGCTTTATTAGTTTATATGAGTTAGTTCATGAGATTATTTATATAGCGCATGACTTTTAACTACTATAATCATTGGGGGGTGACATGCTTTCGAGTAATGATATAGCAAGTTTTAATTGCTTTTTTTTTTTTCCCCAGCAGATTTCATGTATCCTACTCTCTCTCTCTCCTCTCCACTTCCCTAAAGTTGTGTGTATGTATTAAGATATGTTTTTCGATTGGTCAAATAAATAATGTTAAATTGTTTCAATCATTATTTTTTTTTAAATTAAAAGAGGCCTAAATAAGATATATAGGTCTATACGATCAAAACTTCAAATAAGACACTAATACAGGTGTAGGCATAAGGTTATACACAAAAAACCTATTTTCTCTTCTATTCAGCTCAAATTGATTGCGGTTTCTGTTTTTCATCTCTTTTTGATTTTACTTTTTACATAATCGCTTCGTTCTAAAAACGAAGCGAGAAATTGCCATTTGTACATGAGAGTCACTGTATATATCTCTATGGTGTCTTCACGGTTGTTTCATCGCAAAGCATGCCGGGACATAATTCTAGTACATTTTTACCTTCGCCGTGATCAGCTGTCCCGTTGCAAACAACGGGATTCTTATCGAAGCAACATCTTAATCTTGTACATAATCCGCTATTCTGCAGTGATTTTCTTTCACTCCAGTATCGTTTGTACGGTAAGAAACCAAAGTTTGTGTTTATTCATTTTTATGACGAATAAAGCTGATAATACGACGTATAATGCATGAAAGTGGGCCGGGTCCAGCTTTAGTAAATGTAGGCCTAGACCTCTAGATCTAGTCCCGTATGTTTAAATGTGTGTGGATTTTAAGTAGACTGATTGCCTTGTATCTTACTTAGGTAGAAGTTAACCAAATTTACAGTAAAATGAGACTTATGTCTCAGGAAATATGAATAGGTCTAGATCCTATAGACTATACATATTTGATATTGGAATAGGATCTACTAGAATGGCCGACAGATGGATAGTGATGGCAATTAGTAAATGTAAAAAAGTAAAAGAGGCCATGAAAACGATAGATTTGTCGATCTTGATCTGAATATAATAGTCTATGTATTGATGAGCTCTACTTGAGGATCTACATGACAGGGGCGTATGAAGGAATTTTTCGAGGGTGGGGGGGGGGGGGGGGGGTTAAAATTTGAAAATCGTGCCGAAAATTTCACATCGACTCAGCCAGCCGGAGAATGAGAGGGGGGGGGGGGTCGGTTAGAGCATCTATTTTTTCCCGAAAATATGAATTTGGCAGACCGATATTTTGTTCAGTTGATGGTAAGGTCACCTTTTTGGGGTCACCCTTTTGGGGTCACCCTTTAGCACAAAAATATTTCCCCATGATCTAGTGTGATAATTAGGGTTCTTTTGTTACCGTTATTCTTCAGGTTACAAACTTAAATTTGATTGTCTTTTTCCTTTTATTTATCAGTTGCAGCATCATCAAACACTATATGGCCGATGAATCAGAAGATGATGTAGATGCTACGAGAGAGCTCATTTCACAATGGACAACAGAAGTGATACGTGACTTTCTACAAGGAGGGGACTCAAGCTTGGAGAAGTCATTATTTTATGGGTGTTCTCTGCCCTGGCGCTGGGGGTACTGTTCAGCCATTCGAGGTAGAGAGGTAGAGAGGAACTGGACGATGGATGGATGGGGGGGGGGGGGGGGGGGGGGAAGAAAGGCATGTAGAGATGGCCGTCTACTATGTATAGAGACATTTGTGTGCTACTGGATAAGGACCCTTCATCACTAGAGGGAAGAATAATGAGAGACTACAAAGAGGGGAAGGCATTTAGTTATTTTGTCAGTTTCTGGTTAGGGAGACATTTGTTTCATCTCCTGGGAGAAAGCTGTCTGAAATTCAAAATGTATTTGATACTTGAATAAATTTAGTTCATTTTCTAGACTGGTTCATGTCAAACCATTGATTAGGTATGTGACTATCGCGCACATTGGCTTGGTTTCAGCGCACCCGGCAGCAGTTTCACGCCCAATACGAGTTACTCTGCAGGGTTCCTCTTTGATTGCGTGTGGAAACGGCGGTTTCTCGCCAGATTTGGCTTGCTTGTCTGATGACGTCATTGGAAAAATTTCCTTTCGCCTCGACTTCGAATTTTCAGAAACGGACATGTCAAAGTGCATTTTTGTTCAAGTCAAAGCTCAATGTCATCTTTACCATCGTAATCTTCCCTGAAGATAAGTTTTAATAGTTCTAAAACTAATTTAATTTGTTTATTTATACATTTTTCTCGTTACTTGATGAATATAAATCAAATCGGAACATACAATCATTGTTTTTTTACTTCCTCAAAATTGATTGTCAGGAAATTACGGAAATTTGTCTGTCTTTTTGTGGCAGTGAGTTCATTAACGACTAATTAGCTAATTAATTTGCTAATTGCTAATTACTAATTAATTATAAAAGGGTCTATAGTACATCAAATAATACAATATTGGTTTTCTTCCCCTATCACATGTTCTTTCCTTAAGGTTTTACCTAGAAAAATGAATAATTTTTACATTTTTGATAAGACCATCCTTTATATTGGTCATGGTCGGTCACAGATTTTGAGAGGTCTTAATGGTAAAACAATGGCGATAATTAAATCAGATTTTTAATCTTAAAAAAATCATAACTCGCTAAATATTTGTCCTAGAACTATGATTTATATACCATTTTAAATGGTTTTTCAAGCCCTTTCCAATGATATAAGATACAATGTAATCCCACAATTTTTATTTTTTTAGTCACATACCTACATTGATTCTACTTTCTTGTGAGTATACACTGTAGTCAGAGAGAAAGAGAAGTAACACGAGTAAAGAATGAAAATTGAAAAAGAAGCCAATATTTGAACGAGGAGGAGAAAATGGAGATTACGTTGTTGCCCATCAAGTTGGAATAATTGTTCTTACTGTTTGTACATAATGGTCATATATTATAAGAACTGTATTGATCAATCTCAGGAGTCTTATACATGTAGATTGATTAATACAGTTTTGAGATGATGATGATGATCGTGATGATGAACGAGAAGGAGAAGAGGAGGAATATATCAAGAGTTGATGAAGAAAAGATTGATAGAGGGGTTATCATTACAGAGAGAGAGAAAGCGAGATAGACTAACATGAGGAAGGGAGAGCAAGAACAAGGCTATGACATAGGGGAAGAGATAGAAATCAAAATTATATTTATACAAACATTTACTAAATTAAAATAATAAATTAGAATACAAGGCGAGAGGAAAGAATGCAAACTAAAATTAAGCAAAGACCATCACTATATCGTTCACATTATAATATAAATTAAGAAAAGGTACATGGAAACATGTACATTTGTAAAATTCAATCTTTCATTCTCTTGATCTTCCTCTTCACACCTAATTCTTGCTCTCCCTGTCTATCTCTCCCACCCCTCTCCGTCTCTCTCTCTCTCTCTCTCTCTCTCTCTTTCTCTCCCCCTCTCTCTCTCCTTATTATCACTCTTTCTCTTTCATTAAGTGTCGACATCTCTCTCAATGCCTCTCTCTGTTTCTATGTTTCTCTTGTTAAATATTTTAAACATCAGGTCTGTCTGACCTTCCTCTCTTGAATAAATCATGAATAACTTCAACTCAGTGTCCTACATACAGTAATGATTGCTTAGTAGTCATATCTACAACCCTCGCTGTGTTGTTTGATTTTATTTATAAAATAAATATAACCATGAGATCAATATCAACAGGTTTAATGCAATGCATCCTATGAAGAAGTAGTACCAATCTCTACCAATCTCTGGTTCGTAACAAAATTAAAAAAATTAAAATATAAAAAAAAACGCTACTTTTAAAGCGCTTACCACCAAAATCTCTAAGCGCTATAACAAACAAAAATAGACTGATAAACAATTACATATTAAACAAAACAAAAAAAGTGTGAATAAACCTACAAATTACAATACATATACTGTACATAACATGTACATCAAAGTGAACAGAGCCTGGCAGCAGAGTTTTGGATTCTCTGGAGTTTTGCAATGAAAAAGATCTGCCCGTATTGACTTAACACAGGGGACTTATGCTAAAAAAAGGGAAGGGGGGGGGGGTGCTGGGAACACGCATGTGCTTACCCTAAATAACACTGAGTTGGGGGGGGGGGGGGGTACCACCTTTAATGCAAACGCATTTAAAGGGATCCGGTAACTTTATCTCAGATTCTGAAACAAAATCCTGGATTTAGCTCATGCTGCAATGATAATTTTAGTTCAGTCAAGAACTCAATGACTTTTACAATCCAATCGCCTGTCTGATTATCAAGATATTTACGATTGGAAATCGAAACCAAATTTTGGGTTTGTCAAACGCTTTTCATAACACTACAAGTCTATTAGGGAAAACGAGTATGGTAAAAGGGGTCAATCAAAGATTTTTACTTTTTTGAGGCACTTCTTGATCATTTTGAAGCGCAGTTTTGTTAGAGCTTCAGTATTAATACACCATATCGCAGACACTGGTAGCACGTAGGGCCATACGTCAATCTCGAATTAAACATTGTTAAACCCCGGCCCCCCCCCCCCCCACTCAGTGTTATTTAGGGTACGCATATGCTTGTTCCCTCTTTTTGAAAGCACCCCCTATCCGAGGACTGCCAACATTTCCGAACCCCCCCTGCCTTGGAGACTCCCCTAAATCATGAAAAATGCTCAATGTACCCCCCTAAATTCGGAATAATTTCTCAGGAGTCCAAAGAGATTTATAAGAGAAATAAAGAAAAAATACCCCCTTTTTAAAGAAATCTCCGGGTGAAAAGTTAATACACCCCTTTTTGTACAATTCTCGGGCCGGACATTTTGGTAACACGCATGGGGTCCATCTGTTCTCGGAGTGGGGGGGGGGGCCTGGTGTTAAACAATGCCTTTTACAATACCTTTACAACATACACCATTGGCTGTCACATGGTTTGGAAATCACATTACAGATAATAATTCTACAATTGTAAGGTTTCACCTGTCATCATTTGATACCCGAAGGAACATTTTCACAAGGCAAAATTAACTATATGCCTTCCCCTCTTTGAAGTCTCTCATTATTTTTCCCTCTAGTGATGGAGGGTCCTTATCCAGTAGGTACATACATAGTAGGCCAGTTCTACATTCCTACCCCCCCCCCCCCCCCCCCATCCTCCCTATCCATCCATTGTCCAGTTTCAACCATACATGCACCCTAAATATAATAATTGCAAATATGTTTCTATACTCCCCCTGCAAGGAACAAATATATATTCCGTCATCAATAACGAAGAAAACATGATTTTATGGAATATTATGCACAAAGCAAATGAAGGAGAGCTCGTATAATAAGTCACAGAGTTGCCAATTTGTATTTGATTGATCACAACTTCAATAATTCATAACTTTCTTATTTTCATTCAGAATTTGCTCAAACTTTCACTCACCTGATTTTCTTATTATTCTGCCTCTATCGAAACAAACTTATTTTGGGGGTGGACTTTCCCTTTAACCTCGGATGGCTAAAAAGCTACCCCCAGCGTCAAGGCAGCCGGCAGAGAACACCCATAAAATAATGACTCCTCGGTTTGCAAGCTTGAGTGGAGTCCTTGTAGAAAGTCACGTAGCACTTCTGTTGTCCATTGTGAAATGAGCTCTTTAGTAACATCTACGTCATCTTCTGATTCATTGGTCATCGTGTTCGATGATGCTGCAACTGATAAATAAAAGGAGAAAGGCATGTCAAATTTAAGTTTGTGACCACAAGAATAATTGTAACAAAAGAATCCTTATCACTTCTTTAACACAAGTTCATGTAGACCCACGTAGATGCTCAAGTTGAGGTCATCGATATCAGACTATTATATCCAGCAGGGGCGTACGCAGGATTTTTTCAAGGGGGGTTTTAAACAAAACAAAGGGGGGTTTTAGGGGTTTTTTCTTAAAAATACACACGTAAAAAATGCCAAAGGGGGGGGGGGGGTTTAACCCCCAAAACACCCCCCCCCCCCCCTGCGTACGCGCCTGATATCCAGATCCAGATCGACAAATCTATCGTTTTTATGGCCTCTTTTTTACTTTTTTTACATTTAGGGCCTAGAGTCTAGACTAATTCATTTGCCATCACCATCACTATCTAACTGTCGGCCATTCTAGTAGATCCTATTCCAATATCAATTATGTATAGTTTATAGGATCTAGACCTATTCATATTTCCTGAGACATAAGTCTCATTTTACTGTAAATTTGGTTAACTTCTACCTAAAACACAAAGCAATCAGTCTACTTAAAATGCACACGCATTTAAACATACGGGACTAAAGTTAGATCTAGGCCTACATTTACTAAAGTTGGACCCCGGCCCACTCTCATTACGTCGTATTATCAGCTTTATTCGTCATAAAAATGAATAAACACAAACTTTGGTTTCTTACCGTACAAATTATACTGGAGTGAAAGAAAATCACTGCAGAATAGCGGATTATGTACAAGATTAAGATGTTGCTTCGATAAGAATCCCGTTGTTTGCAACGGGACAGCTGATCACGGCGAAGTTAAAAATGTACTAGAATTATGTCCCGGCAGCGTTATTTTTTTATGCGGCACAGATTGGGGCTTTTTTTTTAAAGGGGTCTTGATTTACAGACTGATAGTGGTCGTATGCGTACTAGACAGTAT